GGAGGATCATAAATTCCAGGTAAGTCTGGGCAATTTAACAATGTTGCAAGAGCCTATCTCAACAGGTGGGGGTGAGGGAGCAAAACAAAAACCTTCCAAGCTGGGCATGGTAGCACAGACCTATAATCTCAGCGTTCTAGGCAGCAGAGGTAGGAGGATCATAGTTTAGTGACTTAGCAAGACCCTATCTCAAAATTTTAAAAAATGATACTAAAGGGCTGAAGATATAGCTCAAAGGCCCTGGGTTCAACCCCAGTAATGAACAAGAAGCAAACAGAACAAAACAGAATAAAACACCCTTCCAGTAGCCTCTTAACTGCACTTAGTTCAGAATTCCCACCCTGGCTCTTCAGACCCCGGATCCCACATGCTTCCTCCTCCTCACTTCTCCATGAGCACAGCCTCAACCCCAGCCCAAAGCCTCCTCCACTCTGCCTGGGTCCAAGCCACTTTCTCCACTGCAGGTTGCCCTGGCTGCCCCTGCAACCCCACCTTCTCTCCTCTCACCCATCTCGGGGTTGGGGTTCTTCTCCTCTGAGAAATCCCAACCTCCCAGCCTGGGGTAACCTCAGCATCCTCCCGACCCTCGGGGTGTCTTGTTCTGTTGTTATCGTGGCTCTGCAGTCTTTGACCACGAACTCCACAGGGGCTTTGATCTGCTTTGCTAGTGCTCCAGCCCCTCTACTGTGTGGGCTGTGCTTGGCCTACAGCAGAGCTCCAGAGCTGTCCGTGCACAGCGTGGATGGGAGCCATGGCCGAGTGCACTCACAAAACAGCACTTGCTCTTCACTGTGGGTAGAGACTCATTGTGTCCATAAATGCTCTCTGAGCACCTGCTGTGTGCTCGGTGTCATACTATCACCCTAAACAGCCTGAGTATAATGTGGACAGACAGAAAAACCCCAGTTCCCCGGGACTTACGTTCTAGATCAGGGCCGGGAGAGGGGAAACATTTCATGAGTAAATGAATAAAGTAAAATCTGCTTCAATAAGTGCAGGGAAAAAGATAAAACACTCCAGCCTAGCGGGGTCTGGGGCAGGTTGGCCCCGGTGTGGCTCGGCGTGGGACTCCAGGAGCAATGGGGTTTGGGCAGATGTGGGTAGGAAGGAAAGAAGCAGGAGCCTGGGAGGAGGTCCCGGCAGAAGATGAGCAAGGGCAGGGCCTGTGAGGAAGGGTCTGGCGATGGGGCATCAAGAGGGAGCAGTGGCAAGAAACAGGGAGATGGCAGGAGTAGGTCTTCTCGGGCTGTGGGAGCTGTGGTGGGTGGTTTGGAGGTAGGGTTCCAGCTGCCCTGAGGGGCTGGAGGGGTCGCAGCTGAGGTGAAGAAATCTGCTTCATACCTTCGGCCAAGGCCCAGCACAGTAGGGATCCGATCCCAGGCCGGGTTCTGTGTGTCTGAAAAGGCCTGGGAACTTTTTCCCACACCCTTTAATTGAAGGCAAACTCTGTGGTTGCAGGTGCCTCTTCCTGCTATCCACACCATCCCTCAGAGCCTCCCACTGCCAGGACCTGAGCAGGTCCCTTAGCCATGCTTGCCAGGCACCAGGCTGCTTTCTACACCTCCCTGCTTTGGAGCACTGTAGTTGCCTGGCAGGGCCCCTCTTTCCACTCCCCCGTCTCCCCCAGGGAACTTTCTAGCACCAATCTCACTGGCATCAGAGCAGCACAGGCCTCGGCTGTGGCCTCGGGCAGGATGACCTGGGAGAACCCCCAGGCCCCCTGCTTCTCCTCTGGGAGCTGTGTGAGCAGTAGCCCCCATCTCCAGTGCCCCCGGGACAGGCACAGGCCTCCAAGGGAGGCATCTTGGGTCAGTCACTCCTAGCCTAGCAAAACTCACAGTTAGGAGTATGCTGTGCTCATCTCCCAACCATGCCCAGACAGAAGGGCCGAGACTTGGGCTAGACTGAGACTGTTACTGATTCTTTGCATTAGTGTCTAGATCTGAGTCCCGGCACTGTGTGTCAGCAGAGTGTCTTGTGACAAGCAACTTAACCTCTCCATCTGTTTCTTCTCAGGTTGAGTAGCAGGAACAGTAGTCCCTACTTTGTAGGATGGTTGGAACAACTAGTGAGCTGGCTTTTAGGTGTGAAAGAGCTGGGAACACACAGCAAGTACTCAAAACACACCAACTGTGGTCATTCCTTTCCACTTCTGTTTTGCCATTTTACTTTCAAAACACTGATACCCACTCTAGTCGCACCAAGGTAGAACGAATGGTAGGACCTTCTAGGGCAGCTGTGCCCTTGGTGTAGATACCACACTGGCACTGCTGATTCCTCGGGGACCCATGGCTTTGTTCTCTGAGGCTGTGGGCTCCTCCTCTCCCTTCTTTGTCCCTGTCCTCATCACAGCGCTTACCCCTCATGACCTCACTGTCCACACAGCCCGTGAGAGCCCTCTCTGCCCCTGTCCTCGCCATTGTGGGCTTTCCCCCTCCACTCCTCCTCCATCTGTCAGTCATTTTGTTACTTCCTTTGGTCAAATGTGGAAGAAAGGTCCTGTATTTACCCAACTTGCTAAAGCCCAGGGGCACTTTCTCCATCTACTATCATTGACTTTGGGTCAGCTGTCACCTGTGGCCAAGTCTGCTGGGGCCAGGATGGGGTGATGCAGCCTAAGGGGATTGGGCTGCTTCCTTCAAGAAGCACAGCAGGTGTGGATGAATGGACCTTAGACCCACTCCATACCCTACCCCTTATGCTTCTGCAGCCTCTGTCACGGCACCAAGGGGGCCCTCAGACCTGGAAGAAATAGTGAAGACCAACGCCACAAGCCCTTCACCGTACACAGGGAAAGGGCTCACTCCAAATCTGCCTGAGGAAGGGGCTCGCTCCAAAGCCAATGAGTGGTGGAAGTCAAATCAAGCTTTTTCCTTAAAGCAGAGTTGGTCTAGCCACTCATCAGATGCCAAGGACCCCCTCTTCCTCTCCACAGAGCATAGGGATGAAGCAGATGAACAGTTGTAACCAGGGACAAGCCCAGCAGCATTCGCTAAGTGCTCAGGTGGCTGGAAAGCTATGTAGACCACCCTCTCTAGACTTCCCCTGCCCGTGAGGAGAGCCTCTTGTTATACCTTGCTCCTGGGGCAGTGGAGACCACAGGGTACCAATTCAAGTCAGGGCTGGATCTATGCTCAGCCTATGACCAAAGCCACCCCTGGGCAATATGTGTGCAGTGCAGGACCAGGCATGCTAGGTATGAGTGCGGGAGAGTGACAAGGGCTGAGGAACTTGGGTCAGGGGCCAAGAAAGCCAGAGGTCTTTTTCTCTCCCTCTACCTGGTCCTGGACTTGAACCAGCTCGTGTATGCTGTCTGATCTTCTGCTTCTCCTTTTGTGCAGATGGCTATCCCACCCAACATACACCCATATGTTCTCTGAGGAGTTGAAGTTAAAAAATTAGAAAATAGAAAGTGTTCTTACAGTGGTAAAGACAAATGGGGCACTAACGCAAGGGATCAACAGCAGTAATTACCCTCCTCAGTATTAGGGTTTAAAAGAAATTAAGGAAAGAAGAAGCTATCTTAGGGCCCTGGGAGAAACTGGACTATGCTGCGGGTAGTTGGCATGGCAACTGGATCTGCCAATGGTCAGGCTCATGGCGACCACAGAATCCTGACTGGCCTGTAAGGGCTGAACCAGAAAGTGGTTATAGGCAGGGTGGAGATGGAACAGTTTTGGGCTCTGGAGCCAGATCAGTTATGGAATGCTGGTCCTCAACTCCCGAAGCATCAGTTTCCTCGATGGGAAACAGGGACGCTACCTCCACAGTTGGGTGTAAGGATTGGACAACGCAAGCCATGTGGAGTGCTCTACTCTGTGTCTGACTACAACATGAACCCAATGGATGTCAATGCATTTCTTTCTCTCTCTCTCTTTCTCCCTCTCTCTTCTTTCTCTTTTTTCTTTTTGTGGTGGTACTAGGAATACAACCCAGGGCCTTTGCATTGAGCTACATCCCCACCCATTTCTTATTTTCCATTTTGAGACAGGCTCTTACTAAGTGGCCCTGATGAGCCGGAACTTGCCACTTTCCTGCCTCAGCCCCCTGAATATCTGGGCACCTGTGGCTCAGTTTTGATCAAGTTGATTGCAGAATTCTGAAATCATTATTTGTGTAATTAAACTGTGTGCACCTGGAGGGCTTGAGGGTAGAAACAGGGCCCACTCATCTGTGTCTCTCCTAGCTAATCTGGCAAGTTACATACAAAGTTGTTCATCCTCATTTTTTCAGTAAAGGAAAGGCTTCTCATTTGGGGCTCTCTATTGAGCGCTGTGGCTCTGAGTAGGTAACGGGTTGTGGGATGTGCACAGAATGCAGGCTCTCCGTTTCAGGAGTCTGAAAAGAGCAAGAGGCCCCCACTGAGAGGTGGGCGATTTGGGTGGGAGTGACAGAGGTGCTCCGGCTGTAAAAAGCCTCCTGTGCTTCCATAGGGGCTGAAGCATGCAGATCCACCAGAGGGTTCATCAGAAAGCTCCGGCCCTGCAGAACAGGCAGAGAGCATATCAATCACATGGCCCTCTCACCACTAGAGGCAGGACAGCGCCCCGTGCAGAACATGGCTCAGAGGAAAAAGACTAAATTCATTTTCTGCCTCCTCCGCATCCTAGGCTAACCTGGGAGGCCCCTTAACCACTTCCAACCGCTGACTGGGACATGGTGATGGCGCTTACCTTCAGCAGCTGCATTGAGGATTAGATGGGAAAATGCATGCAAATATTTAATCTGCAGCCTGAGACTAAGTGGGTGGTAAGTGGCACGCATGTGCACACACGCGCCCATCTAAAGCAGCTGTAGACAAAGACCAAGGTGTGACCTAAGCCTTGACATTAAAACTGGTCCCCTTTGATCTCTGGAAATGTGTCCTATAGTTGAATAAACCTTTTCTGAACACCATAGCCCTGCGGTTCCTGGGGAAGCTGCGGACCGCAGATGGGTCAGCAGGGTCTCTCCACCCACTGTGTGCCCAGCACTCTTTCTCTAAAGACCACTAGAGCGTGTTTGAGAAAAGTTAAGCTGTTTTATTTCACAGGATAGCTCCACGTCAAATCAGCAGGCACCATCAGAATACTCAACAGAGGATCCAATCAGACACTCTATAGGAGGACGGGCGTTTGGTTGGAAGGTAGAGAAACAAGACCCAGTAGAGGGCGACACTTATCTTCACCTAGGGACAGGCAACCAGCAATTTCCTAGGGCGGTTTCGGTTTGTTTTTCCTGTCACGATTTGGGGAGGAAGGAAATCAAAGGAAACAAAATCGACCAGCCACTCTGAAGCAATCAGAACCAAACCTGCTGCCAAACCATGTAAACAGTCACACTGCCGGGAACGTGGGCCTGAGCAGAACTCCAGCCAGGGTCGGCTTCTGTCTGAGGAAGAAAAGTGCACTCGGGTTGTTCAGGTTCAAGGAACAGCTTTGCTATTTGCCTGGGACAGTTCACACAGACAGGAAGTGTCGGCTAGGGGCAGCAATGGCCACAGGGAGGTCCTAAAGGGTGGGATAATGGGACCCTGGCAGATCGAGGGGCCGGGACCAGACCTGACAGCAAAGTCTCTTTCTCAGCTCCCCCGGCAGCTTTGGGTGTGTGGGAAATTCTCTACATGGCTGCTCAGAAGAGAGGAGGCCCCAGAGAGGTGGGAAAGTTGACGTGAAATGTCAGCATTCACTCTGCACAGCAGAAAATTAGCCAAGCAACACCTGCTCACCCCTTCCTGCCTTTCCTCCCCAACACCTTTCCCTCCCCACCTGGCAGGGCCACAGCCACCGCCACAGCCACCGCTGCAAGGGCTCTTTCTGGGCTCCTCGGAAGAAGGCCTTTGCTCTAGTGTGGAACCATCTGATGTGTGAAAAGTGAGTAGAGAGAGACGGAGAGGAGGAACTATTGTGTTAGTCCTGTGGTCTTCTTTGTGTGTGGCGTGCATGACCAGGTCATGAGAAGTCCTCTGCACGCATCCACGCCTCCTGAACGAGAGAGATATACCAACCAAGGCACTCCAAGGAGGCCGGCAGAGCAGGAAGTCTGGCCCCACACCGGCTCCCTTTTGGGTACCAAAGCCAGTTTTAAATGTTTATAAGGCAAATCTCTGAACTGCTGGTTCCAGCCGGTAGCCGAAGGATGGCTAAGATTCCCTGTGTCTCTTTCCATTCCAATTTCTTCACATGTAGAAACCTTTCATCCCTTGGGAATCCATTTCTCTCCTGGCCTTGATGACTTCAGAGAAAAGACTCCCAAGTCTAATTCCCAAGCCCACAATTCCCTCTGATTGTGTGCTCTGCCCAGGGTTCAAAAGGCGCTTCAAGGTGAGAAATCGTTAGCACTGAAAACAAGGAAAGGCAAGAATTTTTCATAGAATCCCACCGCTCAGAGCAGCACTTTAAGAGGAAAAGGAAGTGAGGGAGGGCAGGGAGGGACAGTGGGTGTGGAAGCACGGCTTGTTCTCAATTTTATCCCAGAAAGGTCTTTAGTGGCAGCCGGGGCCAGGAGACCCAGGAAACTAGACCAGGAATTAATTGTCTTTGGTCAGTTTTAAATGAACATCTTGCTGGTTCATTCCTCAAACAGACTGAACATCAGTTATACAGAAAGACAAAGGCTTGACCTAGGGATAAGTTGAAGGTTAGGAAATCGTTCTGTAAAGCCCCCCGCCCAAATGCCCGTTATAAACTAGCTGATCAGTACAGCTTTCAATAATGGTGATGAACAAGTAGGTAAACACCACTTCCCCTTGTACAATTGGTTATATTGAGGACTACTAACTAGGTTACTACATTTCCCCCACACTTACTGTACAGTTAGGTTTCTGGTATTTGTTTTTACATTGATCTATCTACTAGGTGCAAAGATTTGGTAAGTGGCATTGGCTATAATTTAATCGTAGCCTTTAAAAAATTACAGTTTCACATTTTAACAGTTACTTTCCAGCATTTAAGCAAATACAGCACTATAAGTGGACTAAAACAGGCAGGAGTTGGAAGAGAATGCCAGTGCTCCATGGACGTGGTGGGGCGTGATGTGGAGGGTGGAGACATGCAGAGCGCTGGTGAGGGCGTGGCTGGGAGAGCATCTTTCCACTGCTCTGCATCAAGGCTTGGGTTCTCAGGCTGGGCCTGTGGGGAGGCATCTGCCATCTGTGAGCTCACACCCTGCAATGCAGATTCACCAGCCATTCCCAGTGGAAAGAAAATAGGTGCCTAAAGAAAACAGCTAAGGCTCTGCTTTCAGGTATTTCGGGGAAACAAGGGTCCACTGTCAGTGAGGAAAAGCAAAATCAGTTAAGTCAGGGAAAAGTCTGCACAGCCTGACTGGTGTCATGTATGTCACACAACACATTTGCCCACTCAAATTTTTACTTTTCGTCTAATATCCATGGCAAAATTTCACCTGGGGGTGATTGGATTTAAAGTCTGGGTATATCTCTGGGGTGGAAATGAGAAGTCTTGTGTCTAGCTGGATAGCACAGCATCCTGGCAAATGATTGACTTTTCGAACCTGACTCAGCCCAGCCTCACAGCCATCTGTCGCTTTGTGGATAGGTTCCAGGCCTGACTCTCTGGGAAGTGGGGATACCTTCCTGTGCTTAAAGGCAGAGGGCCTTTCAGATCCAGGAGGTAAAAGCAAAAGTGTTGATTGCCCTAGGCAAAACAAGAGGTTGCATCCATCCTGAGGTGCTCCCTGGCACCCTCATATGTGCCCTTCCCTGAGTTCTCCTTCCATGGGGTGGGCTCAGCACCAGCCTTCCAGAGGAGGCAGGATGGCTTTCCACTCCCGCACCCAGGTATCAGGGCTCACTAGGTCTCTCTCTTGGGATGTGTTTACCTTTTAATGGAGGACCAGAGGAGAGGTCCTGATCCAAAGGGTAGAAATGCTAAGGATGTAATTTCAAGCACCTGCAGAGCTGTGCTTTGGGCTCTGAGTAAGTTGGCAGGAAAATTCCATGAATCATTTCAGAAAAGAAGGTCTGGATGGTTTTGGATCTAAAAGACTCTCCTTCCTAATGATAACAGGAGCGATCAAGGTGGCGCAGTGCTTTCCACTCTACCCAGCTGGCTTACTTCCACCCGATCTTTGTTATCCTCGTTTAATGGGGCAGAAAAGTGAGCTCCATGAGGTGCAAGATGCACCCAAAGTCACACAGCTCCTAAGTGAACAGGGATAGGACTTGAAAACTCTGGACTTGGGACTCCACATCTGAGAGGTCCAGAGAGAGAGAGAGAGAGAGAGAGAGAGAGAGAGAGAGAGAGACGAAGCCTGAGAACAATAGGGAAAGAGACCTTGGCTTGACAGGAGAGAGTAAATGAAAGTGGTCCCAGTAGGCTCAGACCTATCTGGGTTCCACTGTTCAAAAATAGCCTATATCTGGAAAACAGAGAGATCACAAAAGGAGGTAAAATGGAATCAAATGAGAGCAAGGCCTTTTTGCCAAGAGGCAAAAATCTTGCCCATTTTACTTGAAAATCATGCCTCTGTGCCTATCACCGTATTTTCATTTACAGTAAATGCTCTGAAGGGAGTGGATAAAAGGGGAGAGGAGGGAGGGTGGAAAGCTACTGCCGCTGCAGGAACTCAGCCAGCAGTGTCCTCTAGCAGAGAAAGTGCCCAGGGTCACCCCTCCACAGCATCTGGCCCCAACTGGGCACTTCGGGCTCACAAGCTTCATGCAGGAGGGCAAGGGCCAAAGGGCATACATTTGGTTTCAAATGAAAACAATGCGTCTCAAAGCCTCCTTGCCTGTTTAGTTCAAAGTCTGACACAGTATAATTAGTAGAACTGGGAAAAGAAAAATTAAATATTTTGAAGATGATATAAGTTAAACCTCTATAGTTACCACAGATTTATTCCTACAGATTTCTAAGATTGGAAGTATTCCACACCACGGTATTTTTTTTTTCCTCTTTTTCCTTTTTCCCAACCACTGTACTGGGAAAGGGCTCAGGTTCTCCCTGTGGTTCCTGCTCTACACAAGAACACGAGGATGTTGTGGGCAGGGCTCTTCTCGCCAGCCTCCTCCCATGCCTTCTGGGGTAGAGTTGGCCCTTGGCCTCTGGGTGGGAGGGCAAGGTCTCTGGGGTGAACTAAGGGTTTTCTGGAAAGGGTTCCCCACTTCTAGGAGCAGCCTGCTTGGGGTGCCGCCTGCCCCACCCTTCCTGTAGGGGCAGACTGTTCTGGAAGGCCACAACTTCTGGAGACAGTGGGAGACTTTTTCTGCAGGTTAGTGGTATATTGCTTCATTCGCAGTTACTGTGGGGCCTCTAAGTCCTCCCAGAGAAGTCCCTGCAAATCCCACCAAATAACTCAGTGGGAGATGTTTGGTGGCATGGGTCTGAGGTAAATCTAAGTTTCATAAAAAGAAAAAGGTAATACTATATACATTTAGCATGTGTGTATGTCCAGATCTAGTATATGTATATAGATGCATAAATATATATATACACACACACTTACAGACACATGCATACGTATATATGCATATGTATGCACATGTATATACACACACATATACACGTATGTAGAAAGACTGTGGAGAGACTAATCTTCCAGTGATGGTATGCCGAGACGACATCTAGCATTCTGCCTCAGTTCAAGGAAGCTGTACTTGGGGCTGCTCTCGCTCTAGCATTCCTCAGGGTGTCTGCTTGCACACGAGAGGTCTGTGGATTCACATGGCTGAATGTGAGCTGCAGCTAACGCCTGGGCCTCGGCTCTCCACTGACATGAGCTCTCCCAAGCTGACCTCCTGGGCTCCGCCCTCCAAGGCCAGGATCGCTGGGAAGCGAGCGGCAGCCACCGAAGCTACCCTAAGCCATGGTGCACCACAGTAAGCCAGGGCGATGCTGCTCTTCCACCAGATCACATGGTGCCCGACTTGTCCGAGGTGCTGTTGGGGAACATCTTCTCAGTGGGTGTCACAGCTGGGCTGCCCACGCCTGAGCTGCTGCTGCTGCTGGACCGATGCTGGACCACTGGTCTCACTGGCCGCATGGGAGGTGGGCGCAGCTGGGCACCAGCCAGCCGGGCAGACAGGGCAGGCTTGAAGGTGGTCATCATCTCAGTGGAGGAGCTGCTGCTGCGACGCATGGCAGCCTCAGGATCGCGGATGACAATGGTGTGCAGGGGACTGGCAGGCTCCGAGCTGATGGGGCCTGGTGGGTTCTTCAGGGGCTCCAGGGTGTCCAGCACCACATCTGGTGCCTGCTTGACTGTGTTCTGCCTCTCAAGTTCCCGCAGCTCATGTAGAGCGGTGCTCATGGTCTTCTCGATGTCCTGGGGACAGAGAGAGCTCTGGTCAGCAGAGTCTGCAGGCCCAGAACCCATGCCTTCCTGCACTGCTGACAGGTAGTGGGAATGCTTCAGAAGATTTCTCCAGGAGTCCCCTGGCCCAGATGGAGATTAAATCCCCAGGGAATCTTATTACCAAATAGGAGAATCTTTTTTTTTTTTCATTACAGTACTGGCAATTGAACTCAGGGTGTGGAAAAGTGCTCTGCCACTGAGCTACACCCCACCCCCTTTTGTTTTGTTTTTGGAACAGGGTCTCACTAAGTTGCTGGTTGCCTGGGCTGGACTCAAACTTGTGGTCTTCCTGACTCAGACTCCCAAGCAGCTGGGATGAGAGGTGTGCACTGCCTCGGCCAGCTTAAATGGGACAGGCAGGCAGGAGTGTAGGGTCCAAAGCCCAGGACCCTACACTGGAAAGCATCCTGATAAGGACAGATCAGGCTACTGGACAGGAGGGCAGGCTCTGAAGTCAAATGTACAGGAGTTCAAATTCCAGCTCTGCCACTTCCTTGCTATGTGACATGGGCAAGTTACATTACCTCTCCCAGCCTCAGATCCTCATTTGTAAGTTACAGATAATTACAAGACTGACCGCAGAGGGTTGATGAATGTCTTAAATGAGATGATTCCTGCAAAGAGCTTGGTATGACAACTGAGAAACAATATACACTCAGAATAGTAGTGCTAACCCCAATAGTAATAATCCCTAACACTAAGCACAAATTCAAATCCTTTCCACTAATAGTTAATGTAATCCTCACACTTATAAGCTAGGAACTACCATTACACCTGCACCCTTATTGGATCAGCACTCTGCAAACTTAGTTATCTATGCCACTTTCCTGCTTTCTCCACTAACAGCCACAGAACTGGCCTGCTGTGGGACCTGCTTTTGGAAACTGTATTTCACTCTACACAAAGGCCCTGGGACAGGTTGGGAGGCCACACCCTCATAGGACTGGGAGGGTTTCAAGGTGAGGTGAACACTCAGTGACTTTCTAAAGAAGACAGCCACCTGCTTTCTTTGCTTGACCCCTGCCAAGGCACTGGTCCCAGGAACCCTGGGAGAGGGCGTTGGGATGAGGGCCCAAACTGGACCTGAGGTGTGAATAGCCGTGTCAGGTGAGCCCTTGGGACCCTCCCTGGACTTCTCCCAGAACGTTGCTCACAATCCCTCTTCCTCTTCCAAACAGGGTTGCAAATGCTGCTCTCCCCAGCAAAATTGTCACTACCCACAAGGTTCTGCTAGTCTGTTATCTCTTTTTACATTTTTGTGATGCTGGGGATCAAATCCATGGCCTCACACATGCCACTGCATTCTAGACCTTGTTGTTACTACTGAAAGCAGGACCTTTGCACTGACCAACATTCTCAGCCTTGTTTTTATTTTTTTATTTTTTTATTTTGAGACAAGTTCCCATTATGATACTGAGTGCCTCAGACTGGGCTTCAGCCTCCAAGAGTGCTGGGATTACAGGCCTGTACCCTACCCCTGGCTCTAGTTATTATCTCTTAAGTAGGAGGTAACAGTGGGGAGAGGATTCCTATACTAAATTCCAGAAAGAAAACAGAAACTCTGGGACATATGATAGAACTTGCAAAAACATCTGTGAAAACCATTATGCAAACTGTTTAACACGTCATGTTTCTGTACAATTGGAAATGTAAAAATCATATAGCTTTCTCATCCACACAGAACTCAACCCTTCGGAAGAACCAGAACATCTTCCCTTGCAGCTTCAGCTACTGAAGCCTTCCATCCTCTGGGGCTCATGTCACAACTTCCTGGGGACCTTGCCATGCCTGGGTGCAGTTCCTACATTTCAGGCTCTTAAACTACTGTGACCACTCCCAAAAGGCAACTGGCCCAGCCACCATCTCAGAGTTGTGTGTGTTTACTGATTGCCAGCTCTCTCTCTTCTGTAAGGAATAAGCTCCATGTGGACTGAAGTCTGTTTTGGGTCTTCGCTGTACCTTAACGCCTAATGTGGTGACTGTCACACAGCAGATGTTCAACCAGCCTCTGACCATAAATGTACCGAAGAATGAATGAAAGATGGATGGATTGGTGACTGGGATGGATGGACGGATGGATGGGTGACTAGATGGATGGATGGATGGACTCAATCAGGCTATCTTGTGGAGAGACTTGCCATTGCCCTTTCCCCATAATACAGGCAGCCCCTTCTTTAGCCCTGGACTTTGGGAGTTTTTTGTCCTTGCAGAAACCCTAGTGAGGGGTGGCACCCACCTGGCTTCCACTCCAAGGGAATGTCAGGCAAAGGGAAGAGAAGCCAGCTCACTCTCTTCTTCTGGCTTAGCCTCAAGACTATGAGAGGCCACAGTGGGTCCCCTCTTGGCAAGTCCCACCCACCACCCTTGAGACTCAGCTGGCCTAGCTGCCTTCCCGCTGGCCCTTACTTCTGCCAGGGCCTCGGCCTCCAGGGACTTGTGGTCCCCTAGGCTGCTGTGCCGGGTGGAGCCGCAGGTGGACCGCATCGAGTGCCCTTCTGAGAGAGCCTTCTTGTCAGGGTAGTTGATGCTGCCAGCGCTCCCAAACGTTGCCATCCTCCTCTTCTCAGGGCTCTCCATCCTCCCCCGGCTGAGGGGCATTTTGTGGGGGCTGCTGGGGCAGGCGGCGGCCCGGGGTGGTGTGTCTATGCTGGGGCCCAGGCCCCGGGGTGGACTGTGTGTGTCACCCCCGCTTCGACGCCTGGGGATGGCCGCTCCATCCGATCTCAACCGCACTCTGTAAAGGAGCCAGGGGCAGGGGCGGGGGCAGAAGTCAACCCTGGCCAGTCTTGGCCAACACCTGTGCCATGCACCACATACTGCACTAGGGTGAGTATAGTGAAGCCTCATCATCAGACTGCGCAACTGGCCAACAAAAGGAGCTGTTCAGGGGAAACAGTACAGGAGGTGGAGTATAGAGCTTTCAAGCTGCAGACAGCAGAGGGGCTGACTACAAAACCAATCTCATCTGCATATTAGGTCAGAGACAGGAGAATTTCAGCCTGGAAACGCTTTGGTGGAGTTTGGGGTCAGGGTATGCCCTGAAGCTTTTGAGGCATTTCCACGGTTCCAATGGGCTTCTAATGGGTCTGAAGCATTGAGGCTTGACTGTACCAAAAGTCACCAGCACCATGCAAGCACAGGAGGGGCCTCTGGAAGCTAAGGCCTGTTCACTGCTGCTACCCATCCCCAACCTCCCCAGCATAGGGTTATGTCCTTAAGGCTTGGCTGATCTTGGAAAACTAGTCATTTCAGAGTCGCTGCATTGTGGATGCAGCTTTCCTGCCTCTGGATTCCTCTCCCACCTCAGGGAGACCCTGTGGGTGTGAAAAGTGGTGGGAATGTACATCTGTGTCTGTGTGTGCTCTCCTGAGCTCTGGCTTAGATCCACTCTGTTCATCTGTTTGATGGGTGTGACATCCCTTGCCCAGTTTCAGCAAGTCTGAATGCACCTTGAAGGTAATGGATTTTGCTGTACCCACAGAGGGAGGGAGGGAAGGCCGGAGTGGAGGGGGAGGAAGGGGATGGTGTGCTGGGACTGGTGTGAGTAAGGACCTCATTCAATGAGGTGAGCCACACTTCAGATCCTGTGGCCCTTGCCAAGCTAAGTGGGCCTGTGGGTGCCCACCAGGACCACATCAAGAGGCACTGAGTGAGAAAAAGCCAGAAGGAAGGAGATGAGCTGGGAAGAGGGCAAGGAGAAGAGAGGCAGGAGAAGAGATGGTCCTCTCAGAGGTCTGGGACCGGGGTACTTGTCTCCGCCACCCCAGCCTGCTGCTTCCCCGCCCCCTCAGCTCCATCACCATTATGATGTCCTGGACTTTGACGAACTGAATAGAAGATGCTGAGAAGAGGCATCAAGACTTCAGCTGAAATAAACTTGTAAGCATGTGCTCCACTGTGACTGTATTTTTGGCTCTATCTGTAGAGACTTGCACATGTGGATCAACTGCCTGGCCCCTCTACTAGAAAAACACTGAGCAAGTGACTTTTTTTGTTGTTGATTGTTGAGATGAGGTCTCTCTGAGTCAGTAAGTTGCCCAGGAAGAGCTGGAACTTGCCATCCTCCTGTCTCAGCCTCCCAGGCTGGGGTTATAGGTGTGGCCACTGCATCCAGCAGGTAAAATATTTTGAGAGTCCGTTGAAAATAAAGTGTAGGTAACTGTCAATTCTTTTCCTTTCTCCTCTTGTCCTTATTTATATTTTATTTTAACAACCATGTACTGGGATGATACCTGTTCTCAGAAGGAGAGGGCAGCCAAAGGTGGTGTGTAAGTGTGGGCTGCCTGTTTATGTAGTGCATCTCAGAGATGTGTGAGCTTTACACTAAAAATGCTGGGTAACAACAGGGTCTTCAATGGAAAGCTGGGAGCAAGTGCAGGAAGTGGGAGAGGGAGGAAAATACTTCCCAATTTCTCTCCCTCTGTCTCACTCATTATTATTATTTTAAAGAAAAAGCACTGGATTCCCAATACATGCCTTTCCTCCTTCTCCTCGACCCCTTACCCAAACCTGGATGGTTTTGTTCTTTGCTGTCCTGGGCCACTCCAGCCAGCCTGCCCAGTTGTGCCTAAGATCTCATCCTGTGGGAACAAGGCAAAGCAACAGCCTCCTTCTCTCTCCTGCCCTCTTATTTCTCCCAGTTCAGACGTGAACAGATTCAGTGAAATGAACCAGTGTTTCCTACCGGCCTATCACACCCCCAAAGCCGTAGTCTGAGATGTGCTCCGTGGGGGACTGGAGGTCGTTCTTGGAGGAGGCCTTGTCATCCAGCAGCGGCCCACTGCTGGCCTCACTATCAGCCTTTTGGCTCAAGCTGTCAGAGAAGGCATCGTCCCTGGGGAGAAGAGAGACATGACTTGGAGGAGCCTCCCTGCAGAGGACCCAGGGCACACAAGGCTCCTTGTCAAGTGTCTGAGGAGCAGAGTTGACACACACCTATGCCAACTGTGCCCCCAGCCTGGGGAGCCACCCTCTCCCATGCATACCCACTGCCATACTGCTGAAGCTTCTCCAGCAAAGCTTCTCCACACCCAGCTCTCCTCTCCCCTACTCTTGCCTGTTCTTTTCTCCCAGGCTGTGCCCTAAACTAAGCCAGACTAAAAGCTGCAGGGGCGCTGGATAAGCTGGAGGCGATCGTTGTGCACTGACCAAAGAGAACGCCAGCCCTGCGTCTCCGTGTGGCTCCAGAAGTGATGCAGGGCTAAGCAAGGGAGGAAAAGGTGACTCCATCCTTCAGCTCCCCACTCATGAGGGGCTTGAGTTCCAAGGGGCCCCTGCCAGCCTCTTCCCATAGACTTTTCTCCCAGTGGCATGCCCTACCCTTGCAGACATTAGGGGCTGCCGACGGCCCTCCACTACAGCATTCCTCCTAGCATTCATCTGGTCTTGGCCTTTTCTCTGCCTTGAACCTTCTCCTCTTCCATAAAAACATAGATCCTCTTGCTATGGGTTTAGCTTGTAGCTGCTTCCATGATAATTCAGTTTCCCTGCACCTGACAGGAGTTTGCAAGGAATGTATATACAGGAGGAAACCTTTGGTAGCTCAAAGGGATGGAAAATAGAGACTTGCCAAGGGCTAGGTACTTGGGGTGTGGGACTTTTTTAATCCTTGAAATTATAAATATATGAGGACATGCTGTTTCTGCCCATCCTTTGGAGGACCCTGTCAGTGGAGAAAACAGTGGGCAGAAAAGAGGGGAATGGGCTAGGGGAAGACAGGAGAGGGGACATGGCAAGATCCACTGGACACTATGAACCGTGATGGTGAGGAGGGTCTAGGAGGTTGTCTGATAGATCAGGATGGCCAGCCAGGAGCCCCACACATGTCACTATGTGCTCTGAAGGATCCACAATTTGCACATTTGCTAAGTGGATTGCTATTTAAAGAGAAGTGGGGTATAGCCCAATCTTAGAAAACATCAAGCCTATTATGCCAGCCTATACAACCTAGCACTTCCCTTCTAGTATCACTATAGACATCACCAATCTGTCACTGCATCTTCACAGAAGGTCTTCAGTTCCACTCACATGTCCTGTACAACTATGTACTGATGAGGGATGAGTCCATCCACGCCATTGTGACGGCCCTCCCACCAGTCCTCTGAGGCACGGTGGTACAGGAGCAGTGAGGCCCCCTTCTTGAAGGACAGCTCACGTGGGGACCGCCCCACATAATCAAACTTCGCAATGGCTTCGATTTGCTCTACTTCTGGAAAGAAAACAAGGGAAAGAACATCCACAGGTCAGCACAAGGACAGCCCAGGAGGCTCACTGAGATGCCCTGGCTTCTATGGGCAGGACAGGTGCCATGTTTGGTAAGAATATGTGCTGGGGATACCAGGGATCTAGGTTCAGATCTCCCCACTGTGTGACCTCAGGCCAGCTGTCTAACTTTTTAAGATGTCCACAGGAACAAACATATCAGATTCCTATTTTCCATTGCCCCTATTGCTCTCAACTTTTTAACATTAAGAAAATATTCGAAGACATTTCTTTCTCTTCTACATCTTATCCTAAGTTCTAGTTCTGTTTCCCATGAGCCCTTCCCTTCCTTTCCCATACTTCTGGTTTTTCTTAAACTTTTAAGAGGTCAAAAAGATGTGAGTGTACAAAATGTGACACTTAATTTTTAAGGGTTCCAGAATCCTCAAGTTCATTGCAATGGACTGAATTGTGTCCCCTTCAACATTAAGAAGCCCTAATAACCAGTGTGATTGTATTTGGAGATAAGGCCTTTAGTTCAATAGTTAAGGTTGAAGTGCTAGTGAATACATTGTAGGACCCTAATCCAATAGGACTGGTATCCTTATAAGAAGGTGAAGAGAAACACCAAGACATCTCTCTCTGCATGGACAGAGGGGAGAAGTTGTGGGCAGACACAATGAGAAGGCAGCCATCTACAAGCAAGGAAGAGAGCCCTGCCCCCAAGTCAACCCTGATACAGCACCTAGATCTTGGATTTCTAGTTCTCAGCTGACAGTGACTGTTACAACCCTGATTATAATTACTAATGGACTTAGCTTGCTGGAGAGGATCAGAGAAGAAACCTAGGTGGCAGAAGGTTTTAATGACACGTGTAAGACCATACAGCTAGTGATATTTGGGAAAGAGACTTTTTGGGGAGCAGGGGGACTGTGTCTACTATTTATTTAACATGTGTCATAGTCTGTACCCTAAGAGGTGCCCATACTTGCTTTAAAAATTTATATTTTAAGGCAACCAGAAAGATATTTAATTATTAATTAATTAACTTTTATTTGCAGTGCTGAAGATTGAACCGAGGCCCCTGCACATGGTAGGCAAGTGTTCTCTCATTAAGCCATATCTTTGGCTCTTTTTTCTTTGAATTTTATTTTTCAGGTGGGCCTCACTAAGTTGCCCAGGCTGGACTCAAATTTGTGGTTCTCTTGCCTCAGTTTCCCAAGTAGTTGGGATTGCAGGCATCTAGCACCATTCTTTTACAGAGCAAAAGGATAATAAAAGCAAGCCTTTCTTTACCTAGCCTACAGACACCTTCCAAGTGCTGACCTCCTTGGGACTCTATCTGCTCCATTTGTTATGGATGATCTTGTCTCCACCCATCTACCTGCCCATCACATAGTTAAGATTAGAACACCTGACTTTTGATCTGTGTGATCTTAGCAATGTAGTTTTCCTTTCTAAGCCTCATATAGATGAAATTATAGAGTTATAAAGCACAACAGCTGAAATAAAAAAAATTTACAAGAGGGACACAACTAAAGACTTGAATAGGTGGAAGAAAGAATTAGTGAACTTGAAGATATATAGACTGAGATTATGCATGCTGATGAATGGAGAAAAAAGAATGAGGTAAAGTAAACACAGCTTCAGAGAAACTTGGGCACTACTAGGTATAATGAATACCAAAAATGAAAGAAGAGGCAGTTAGAGTAGAAAGAAATGAAGAAAAAATGGCTAAAATCTTCACAAGTTTACTGAAAAACACAGCCAGGAAACTCAACACAGCCAGAAAACTCAATGAACTCTAAGCAGAATAAATGTAAGAGAGCCAAACAGACAAATCATAATAAAAACGGTGAAAATCAGATACAAGGATACAATCTTGACATCAACAAGAGAAAAACAAGCCTTCAGTAAGATTGACAGCTGATTTCTTTGTGGAAACTATGGATACCAGAAAGTAGTGGAATATCATAATCAAAGTGCTTGAATAACTGTCAACCAAGAATCTGATATCTAGTAAAATTATCTTTCAAAAATTTAATGAAAGAATTTTCCAAGTTTTAAAAAACTGAGAAAATTTGTCACTACTAAAACCATCTTACAAAAATACTAAGACTTTTTCAGGCTGAACACAAGTGATCATCTATTATAATTTGAAAGTATATACACAAAAACAAAGAGTACTAGTACACGTGATGAATAAAAATGAGGACATAATATATCCAAATTTATAGGATTCAGCTAAAGCTATGCTTAGAGGGAAGTTATAGCTATAAAATGTCTGTACTGAGAAAAAATATTTCAAAGGAGTAACATGCACTTCTACATTAAGATACTGAAAAAAGTACAAACTAAACCTACAGCAAGCAAGAGGAACAGAACAGAATTTAATGAAATAAAGAATAGAAAAACAGGGAAAGCCAACAAAATCCAAAGGTGGTTGTTTGAAAAGAAAGATTGATGAAAGTGACAAGCCTTTGACTAAGTAAACCAAGAAGCAAAAAGATGGCTCAAATCAGAAAAGAAGAGTCTTCAGAGGGCATCTGTTCTGCCCTTGGGCCAACTTCTTTCCTCCACCAGCTGCCATGGTCTACAGTGTCACGGCTCAGCTCTGAAACACCATCCCTCCCTGTCAACACAGAGTTGCTTTTCCTAGTGGAAGAGGAGAGGCTGACAGAAAGATCTACAGCAACAGGAAGTTCTGCACTGGTAGATCAAGGGAAGTGGGAAAAGGATTAGGAGTAGAGAGGAGGAGGAAAGGAAAAGGAGAGGAAGAGGGAGAAAGGCAAAAGTAAGAGAAGAAAAACCAGGGACTCAGAGAGATACCAAGTGAGAGAAATCCAGAAATAAAAACAGTCTACAGCCACACCACCCTGAACGTGCCTGATCTTGTCATAAATAAAAAGAGCAACAGATGGAGAACAAGAGGAGAGAAGGAGGAGTGCAGAGGGAGGAAGGAAGGAGGAAGAGGGAACAAAGAAGAGTTTTGAGGGAGGGTCTCATTAAGTCACTAGGTTGCCCAGACTGGGATTGCGATCTTCCTACCTTAGCCTCCCAAAGTGCTGGGACTGCAGGTGCTTGGCATCCTAAGCAATGATTTTTTAAAGTAAAACTACAAGACAGGTGTAATGGTGCACACCTGTAATTGAAGCTACTTGGAAGGTTGAAGTAGAAGGATTATAAATTTGAATCCAGCCTGGGCAACTTAAAGAAACCCTGATTCAAAATAAAAACTAAAAAGGTTAGGGGTATAGCTTGGTGGTAGAACATCCCTGGGTTCCATCTCCACTACTAAAAAACAAAGCCAAAACCAAAGCATGGCATGAAGACAGGAAGCACACCCTCAGTCCATGTTATGGTTTAAATCTGTGTGTCCCCCCAAAGCCTCAAGCAGCCATGGGGCAGGCTTTTAGAGTTTCATGGGTGTGAGAGCTACACCCACCCTGGGGTGGATAGTTTACATATGTAAGGGAGAGGAAGAAGCTGCTTGAGGGCATTCCTTCCCCATTCCGACCTGGTATGTGTTTTGTGGCTTTTGCTGTGTTCGGACACCATGAGCTGTAGCTCTCTGCCATGTGTCACTCTGCCTTATAATCTGCCAAGTAAGGACTAAAACCTCCACAAACTATAAGCAAAATAAACCTTTCCTTCCTTAATTTTGGGCGTCAGGTATTTTGTCCCAGCAACGAGAGAAAAGTAACCAAGACAGTCCATATTGGGCTATATGATCACTACTATGGCACCCTGCCACTTACCCAGCCTGAGTCCCTTCCTCTGTTAAGAGAATAAATTATACTTTACAACTACATTAGCATAAGAACAAATACAATCCAGATGGAATATCATATTATTTATTCTGAATTTAAAAGAAATTAAGACATTTCAGTGGACCTCTAAGATATTCCAGGCCAGCTCACCAAATGGGTAGGCTGGCCAGAGCCCATGTCCCCTGAATGCCATGTTCCCTGTACAGTCCAGGGAAATTTGCAGACAAACTGACTCTTTTTCCTTGTCCACAGGGGTGGCAGGATTGGCAGCTACTTCAGCACCCCACCAGTCTTTTCCCACACACTGTCCGAGCCTTTACCCCAGTCTTCATGCTGGAGTGGCCGCTGTACTATGGAGGCACCTGTCACCTGGCACTACCACTCTGCACCATGAGGAGCTGGTGACAAGGCCACCAATTTTTCAAGGTTTCGTGACAGGCTGGGAAGTCCTTGAGGACCTGCTTCATTCATTGCCATGTCTTGGGCCCCAAGACAGATCCTCCAGGGGGGGATAGCGGGTGCTTCCTACCTGAAACTCTTGTCCCTTAAGATTTACATGTGGGCTAGCAGGACACACGAGGGCAGATGTGGGCTGGGTGTGGAGTGTGTGAGGACCTGCTCAGTATCAGGGCCTGAGGCATGTGATGAGAGTAGTTCTCTGGGTCCTCACCTCTTCTGAAGGATGTGTGTGTAGGTGTGGTAAGCTGGAGGCAGGAGGCCACATGAGGGGCTCACAGGTAAGGCCCCTGGCCTGGGCTCCCCATACTCACCTTCATCACTAGTGTGAGGCTCCGTGCCATTGTCATGGTCAACTTCATCAATGGTCCCTGGCTCACTGTGTGGGCTGTCACTGCAAGGAAACACACGGAAGGGACTCATGATAGGGCTGGCTACCCTCACAGTGCTTTCAGCTTCCCACGGGCAGCAAGCCTATCACCTCTGGGCCCTCCCACAGAGCTGGCCCAGGCTCACATCTGTCTAACTTTCTATCTGACCACCCTTGGATCTTCTAATCGGACACCATTCTGAGCACCTCTCTCAGCTCCCTCCTTGCCCTGGAACTTGCTGGGCTACCTTCTCAGTGAAGATGGTCAGTGCTTTCGATGTGTTCCCCAAAGGCCATGTGTTGGAGACTTTATCCCCAACACAACTAGGTTGGGAGGTGGCTCTCCCCTCATTGATGGGTTGATGTGGTTATCACAGCCATGGGTTAGCTGTATGAGAACAAGCTGTTACCAGCACAAGTTTGACCTCTTGGCTTTTTTGTCTTCTGCTGTGCCATGGGATGATGCAGCACAGATGCTGGCACCATCTTCTTAGATTTCTAACTTCCAGAACCATGACTCATACAAATTTCTGTTTGCTTAAATTACTTAGCCTCAGGTATTCTGCTATGGAAACAGACGACAAACTTAGACAATGCTTGCATGTTCTATAGGATCTAGACAGTGATCAGGCCCCAGCATCAACCACCAGAAGGTCCTCAGGTCAGAAAAGAAAGGAGCCTGGGGTTACTGTGAGTCATTTCACCTGGGCTGGCCCCACTTATCCCACAGTGTGGTGGTCCCTGCCTTAATCCCAGCTGTGAGAGACTGAGACAAGAGGATCACAAGTTCAAGGCCAGCCTGGATAACTTAGTGAGACCCTGTCTCAAAATGAAAAACAAAAATGGTTGGGGATGCAGCTCAGTGCAGAGGCCCTGGGTTTCATCCCCAGTTTGGGGTGGGGTTGCTGGGCAGTGCACACAGGCTACCATGGCATGCCCTAAGCGTGTCCTGCAATTATGTCACCTGACTCCCCAGGCTAGACTATAAACTTGCTGAGACCAAGTGTTCACCCAGTCAGTGGGTCAGGTTCACTGAGCCACTGAGGAGTGTAATGTATGCTGCTGTGCTAGGCAGGAGGGTGCCATGATGGGAGGGGGCAAGACCTATGACTGCACTGCTTACATGCAGGGAGGGAGACAAGAAAACAGCCCATGAAAATAGGCCAGTAAATAACACAGTTGCAAGTTGAAATAGTGTTGTGTAGGAAGTGAGCAGAGACCAGAAGAGCAGAGGAAGTCTATATAAAACAGTCAGGAAAGCCTTCTCAGAGAAGGTGACACTTGCAGTGCCATTTAAAGGGATAGGGACTTCAGTATGAAAAGCTCTCCATTGCCCCCTGGATCAGGTCCAGACTCCACGGTGTCCAACCAGGGACCCTTGTCCCTCCCACACCTGTGCCACACATAGCACACCAGCCACACTGACCCATTTGTCCCTTTACTGAATTCTCCAAGCTTAGAACCTTCTCTTCCCACCCCTTACAGAGCTGGCTCCAGTTACCCTGCTGTCAGCTTAGTCCCTAATTCCAAGCCCTTCCCAACCACCCCACTCCTGGAACCACTTGCCTCTGGCTCCATCACAGCTCCCTGCACCGGGATCCCATCCCCACCCCCAGTACAGAACCTGGACCACAGCAGAGCCTCAAGGACCATTTGTCTGATGAATTCATGCTGCCCACTGTGCTGAGCCTTCAGCCAAATCTCCCATTTTGGCTTTGAAAACATTTCCAAAATTACCATGTAATTAACAATTTTCCAGTCTCATGGGAAGCAAATGGGATTGAGAAAAGCGCTATTATATATGGCTCTTTGGTAAGATCTAAGGACTGTGGGTCCCTTTAGTACAAACCTATTGAACTAAGGAAAAAGAACTGGCATTGACAAAAAATGAGAGAAGGCTTCCCTTTTATAGAAATGATGCTTCTAACTTTGAATGCTTCTGTTACAGAGCAAGGACATGCTTGTTCTCAAAGGCCCCCAGTAAGGACAGAGCTGTGATCAGACCTCACACACCCCGGGTTTCCACGTGGGGAGGTGCATGTGCAGGGCAATGGAGCTGGAACATGTCCCTTCTCTGAAACAGCTGCTCGCATCTGCCCCCAGCACACAAGTAACTTGAGAGTCCAGGGGTGCTTTGCAGTCAAACCCTAATTCCCTCCAGGTATCTGGCTAGTGGCAGTGTGGGTAAGACCTCAGTACACTGCTCAGTGCTGTCCTGGGTTGGGAATTAAAAAGCAGTAGCTACTCTTTGACCAGTCCCTTTCACTTGGTGTGTCGAATTCCACTTCTTCAGTGCATTTTTTATCCTGGAGTATTCTTTTCTTTAACTAAAAAATTTAATTGACATACAAAAACATAAAAGAGTACATATTTATGAAGTACCATGTGCTGTTTCAATACATATACCAAGTCTACACTGTATGTATAATATTTAAACCAGCACAAATATACCCAATCTCCTGAACTTGTGTGTGTGTGTGCATGTGTGCCTGTGCGTGTGTGTGTTGTGGTGCTGGGAATTGAAGGGACCTTATACATGACCTGCTCCACCACTGAGCCCCACCCCAATTGCCAATCAGGGTTTATGGTAAAAACACTCCTTTCTTCAACTTTCTGAAACATAAAGTACTTTCTCATTACATATTGTTATCCCACACCCTGCACTGCATTTTAAAATGTTTCCCTGTCTTCACACTTTCAGGTCATAGCCTGGGGAAGCCCTGACTTTGCACAGCTTCTAATGTGTTTCTCCTGAGACAGGGTGTTGGCAGAGGCAGCAGGTGCACAGAGGCGCCCAGCTAGTGACTGCTGCCTGGGGATGACACAGAGAAGCCAGCCCATCCTATCTTAAAGAGAGACCTCTTAGGCAGGCGGGTACAGAGGTGGCAGTATCATTTTGGCTCATGAGCTTTGGGGAGATTACTCTCCCCTCTACTTCCTGAGGTGGGCCTGCAGCACACTTGGCCAGCAGCAGCGTTACCTCACTCCCCATGTCAAGGCCTCACCAGACCCAAGCATTTCTCTGGCTTGCATTAGCTCATTTGGGAAAGACAAGCTCCTTTTCTATTGAGGATACTGGAAAACAGGTTTTAAAGCTGGAGCTGCTGGCTACCTTCTCACAACCACAAAGGGAGAGACTGTGTATGAGCACAAGTGAGAACAGAGCCAAGGGATGGAGACAGAGGGTGAAGTCCTAGACCCGGCCATACCTGAAGGGTCCAGCTACACCTAAAGATGTCCCTGTACCCCGACTTTCTAGTTAAGTCAACCAATAATGTCATGTCTGGCTTAGGGCAGTTTGAATCATATTTCTGTCCACTGTTACAAACGCATTCTTCACTGATGCACCCATCTCTCACATAAGGCTGCTGCGAAGCTCAGATGAGAAAATGTACATGGAAGTACAGGCTCTGAAGCAGCAAGAAAGCAAAGGGCTTCTTGCTGTTCTTGTTCAACAACAATGACAAGGCTAATTGTAACATTCAGAGGAATGACATCTTACCAATACTCTTCCCCTCCAGCCATGCATTTTTCATACACGGGTCCCTCGAGTTCCCGGGGGCTGGGGAAGATGGCTTCGTGATGGATGATGATGGTTTTGATGACTTCATTGACGTGTGCCTGGCAGGACACAGGGTCCTGCCCATCAGGGATGTGCATGAGGGTGGGCCCGAAGCAGATGGCCAGGTTGTAGGGATCCATCATGTTCTCGTCGCTATACTGGGAGAGGCTAGGAGAGAGGAGGCACCCACACGTCACCTGGGAGAGGCAAATCCTCCCCTGGAGTTTCTTTCTGGGAGGAGGGGACTCTGTTTAAGTCCAGGAGGACTGCGGGAGCCCTAGGAACCCCCACCCAAAGGAGGCCAGGGTAGACGCCAAAGGGGCCCTTGGCCAAGCACTCACTGGTTGAGGAAAGCAAAGAGGTATCTCATGACCACGACGACCACACGGGGCAGGGTGACGAGGATTTGCTGGATCTGGTGCACCCTCTCAGCTGGGTTCTCCAGTTCTGCAACACAAAGGGAGTTTTTAGGGTGCCTTTTCTCCTCAGAGAGCAGAGTCCCACCTCAGCCTGGGTGGATCCTGTCCCCATCTCTGTTCTCAGTTCCAAAATCCAAATGTGATCCTGGCCTGACCAATCAGAGCATCAAATCCCCAGTCAGGCTTGGGGCTTGATCTACTCAGAACCAGTCAGATTCGATCCTCAGCAAGGAGCAAGAGAAACCTACAGAGAAGTGTCTGGGATTTGGGTTGAGGGAAGTCTGAGCAGCTGGGAACTTCCAGGAAGGAGGATCATGCCTAAGAGAGAAGCTGGCCCAGAAACAGAGGAAGGATATGTTCCTGCTGATGCTAAGGGTCTGAGTCCAGCTGGACCTAAATTGTTTAAGTCCATGGCCCCACACATTCTCTTTTATGGGTTATTGCCAGTCTGAGTTTCTGTCATATGCACTCTGGGACTTCTGATAACACAGGCAGGAGTCATGTTTTACTAAGCTAGTAGTTGCTCAGGAAAAAAAAACGGCGGATACACAGCCAGTTGTTGAGCTACCTCCTGGCCAGAAGGCTTGGCAGAGACGTAAGACCTGGAAAGACAGGCATTGTTGTGTTTCTGAGCTCTGCTGGGGCTGGAGGCTTGGGAAGAAGAGACAAGTGCTCCTGGAGATGGAGAGCTGGTGCTGCCGAAGCTCTGGAGGTCATCTGCAGGACTGACGTGCAGAATGATATGCTGCTTTTCCCAGTAATGTTTTTGTGGCACAGATGCTCTCTTCAGCCTCCATGTCCATCCTGCCAGCCTCACCCCCAGCTGCCATCCCTTTCCCAAGTGTCTGAAGATGATCTGGGGCAGTGCTTCTCCAACAAAGAGATCCTGACACATCAGATTGCTTGCACACCAGTAGGGCATCCTCTGGGGTGTCATGGTGACTGGAGGGCAGTACTGGAACCTGGTATCCACGGGTAGTTCTACATGTCCTAAATTTGCAGGACATGAAATAAGGCATCTCTCTGCCCTAAATTCTAAAAATACCACAGAGGGAAACCCCACATTGGATGTCCTGTCTACTCCATCACTTTCAGGCAAAGGATGCTGCCACTCACAGGCCTGTGCACACACTGGTCCCCCTCACTCAGTTCCAGGGCAGTCAGTCTGTTATTACTCAAAATTAGCTCCCCAAGCCACACCCCAGCCCCTCCATGTTCTTGGCTTCAAGTCCTTATGCCTGAGAACCAGCTCCCTTCCTATTAATGTTGTTTTTTTCCTAAGTACATTTACTTAAAAAGGAAACTTTATACCACTCTGTTAATGGAAATGAGGGTCACTTTTCATAATTGGATGTTAACATAAAAATAAGTAAACAGCTCCCTATCTATGGGGGATAAATTCCAAGACATGCTGGGCATGTCTGAAACCACAGCTATCACAAACCCTGTGTGCACTGTGTATCTCTACACATGCCTACCTTTGGTAAAGTTTAATTCATAAATTAGGCACAGGAAGAGACTAATGATAACAGTGATAAGATAGAATAATTACAATACTGTGCTGTAATAAATGTTATTTAGAACTTATGAATTGCTTATTTCTGGCATTTTCCACTTAACATTTTCTGAATTCAGTGGACTGTAGGTAACAGAAACTTCTAGAAACTGAAGCCACGGATGGGGGTTGCACAATGAGGGCAAAACAATGTCACCAAGTTACAGGTGGACATTGTCTACAGAGGTCTGGAGACCTTAGACCTTCGCTGTTTAGAAGGGAGGTTGATGTATGAGGGTTTCTCCTTGACATAATCACAGGGTTGACAGGAAACTGAGGAGTCTTTCTCAGGATGTGATTCAAGTCAGGCAATGTCATGGCCCAGGCAGAGGTGACATCCTTGCTCACTCAGGCCCATGCACAGACACAGGGTTACTGCAGGGTTCTGGAGACATTGGGCTCAGCAAGTGACACAGGGCTCAGAGAGAATTGGGCCTTTGTGGCCTGAGAATTCTAAGACACAGTGCAGAGCCTGAAGCAGACCTGGAAAAATGAGCAGCAGGTCATGACAAAGGTAGATGGGGACAGGAAAGGCCTTTCATACAATGGAAGATGGACTCTCATGCCTAACAATGGAAGAGGAGCCTCCCAGTCAACTTACTGTCACCATTTCTCTGTCTGTCACATTCCTGACTTGACCCCTAAACTGTCACAGTTCTCCATCACCTAAAGTAGAAATCTCTGGAACCCCTGCAAGGCCTGATGGTCCCCCCTCTTGCTCCATCTTATTCTTCCAGCAGCTTGCACCATGCACGAGCTGGGACACCCTCCCACTGGTCCCCCTGTCTCAGTCTCCAACTCTTCCCAGGATTCCCGCATCCACCTGTCCTGCAAGATGTGCTCAGATCACTCTCAGGTCTAATCTGTGAAACCAAGCCTCCTTCTGCATCTTCTCTGAGCTCCTTGTACTGGGCAGGGAGTTTGCCAAGCTGGGTAGCCCTCTCTCCATGAACCACATGGTCTCCACAACTAGGCACTGAGTTCTGAGGACAAGAGCCACATGTTTAATATCCCTCCTGTGCCTAGCAAGGTGATGAGTCCTCAGGGCAACTTCAACTCAGATCTGACCAAGAAATGATCCTTCCACCTGGGAAATACTTACTAATAGTAGATATCAAATCTTGAAACCTTTCCTTAGGAAAGAGTGGGTTTTCCAGTCCTCGGAAATACAGTTTTAAAACACCAGCAACTGAATTGATATCTCGCTCATTTTGATCATCCACAAGCGGGTCTTCACCTGAGAGAAAAAGGAGACATTTAGATCAGGAGATAGGGGTGTGCAGATGACAGAAGAGGTGACCCGAGCCCAGCCTGAGGTGGAGGAAAGACAGCTGCAAAAAGCCTCCCCAGTATATGATGTCCCTACCCCAAGTTTAAATTCTTCCTGCAACTTCCTGTTGAAAATATTCAAAGCTACAAAGAAAAGTGAAAATAAACTAATGCACATCCATTGCCCTTCACTTACCCTCATCTTGTACATTTGCTTTATTCCTTTCCTATTTACATTTATTGGGCCTCAAAAGTTTGAAAGCATTACAGACATCACAACATATCACTGCAAAGTATTTCCACAAGTTTCTCCTGAGAACTAGGGTATTCTCATATAACCCACTAAGAGGCTTACACTAAGAAAATGGACAGTCATTCTGAACTGCCATCTCGCAGGTGGTCCACACCCAACCTCTCCAATTGTCCTACAATGTCTTTTACAGAATTCCCTTCAAAGTCTACCATCTGATCAACATTCACAGACCTCATCTGGTAGATATGCCTCTTGAGCCCTTTAAATATAAAATAGACTCTCACGGTTTTCTGTTTGCTTGTTTTTAATATTGACCCTTTTTGAAGCACCCAGGCCAGTTGTCTTGTCGAATTACCTCATATTCTGAATTTGTTTAATTGATTTCTCTTGACTAAACACAGGCTAAATATTTATGGCAAGAAGCTAAGTGTAGCTTCACCTGTAATTTCAGCATCCTGGAAGGCTAAGGCAGGAAGATCACAAATTAGAGCCCAACCTGGTCAACTTCATAACTTAGTGAGAGCTTGTCTCAGAAAGGGGGTGGGTGCTGGGTAGCACCTCAGTGTGAAGGTCTTTGGTTCAATACCTATTACTGGGAAAAAATTGTTTTCGGCAAGAACACTTTGTGGGTGATATTGTGAACACCTAACCTCATCCCACTGGGAGACATGCATGGCAACCTGCCCTGTGGCTGGGATACAAGGTGTGATCTGTGGGCTCTTGCAGTGGCCTCCAGAGTTCAAAGGCATTTATTTCCCTCTTTTATAATAAATCAGTGATCTGAGAAATGATGCTGTAGTATCCTGATGCTTTGAGACTGTTTGCATGTCTCTGTGCTCGACATATTTCACCCAAAGGTTTTAGCGTCCGCCGATGGTTTTTGCCGAAATTAACTGTTGTGGGGGGATAAATGGTGATTTTTCTGTTTCTGTCATTTCTTCTACTTTTTCATCTAGCGTTCTTTTGCAAAGAAGAGTTTTCCTGGTGCACTTTCATCCCTCACTCCCTTACTTGTTAACATCTTTACTGGCTTGCTTGTGATTTTAATTCCATGTATAATAAGCCATTACCTCCACTATTTCTTGGGAGACTTAAATTGTCCCATATTTGTCCAGCAAGAGTGCTCTTTTATGTCCTTTTAATGGGATCTCCAGTGAATGTCATTTTCTGGGCAAAAGAGTTTCCCCAGGTCACCACTTTTGCTATGGTTTGGATCTGAAATGTTCCCCAAAGGCTCCTATTTCAGCACTCTACTGATCCACCAGCGGCAGGGCCTCACACTTGCTAGGCCAGTGAGTTACACCTGAGCTATGTCCTGGGCCCAAGGCTCATGTTTGAAAGATTTGGTTCCTAGCTATTGGAAGGTGGTGGAACCATTAAGAGACAGGGCCTAATGGGAGGAAGTTAGGTCCCTGGGGTGGTGCCTTCACAGGGACACTGAATCCCAGCCTTTTCCTGTCTCTCTCTTTGCTTTCTGGCTGCCAAAAGGTGAGCAGATACTTCCACTAACCCATCATAAATACAGCAGCAACTGTATACCTGTTTTTCCTATAGTGAAAATTTTGGCTTTTTAATAACAGTAACAATTCATTTATCTGACTTATCCTAGAATATGCACAATGAGTTTCAAAGTTTTAATAAAGTTATTACTACTAACAGTAAATTATTATGTAAAAGCTCGGATGTGTTTCAAGAACTTTTATTTTTGTTCTCATTTAGGTTTTGTTCCTTAGACTACATCCTGCTGAAGAGGTATGGGTAGAAGATGGAAAGTAAGTTGGGTGGGTAAGGTGCCTGTAATTCCAGCACTTTAGGATCACAGGTTTGAGATGAACCTGGGCCACTTAATGACTTAGTGAGACCTTGTCTTAAAATAAAAAATAAAAAATGGGTTTGCAATGTAGCTCAGTGTGAAGGCCCTGGATCAATGCCCAGTTCCACAAAGAACAACAACCATGCCACCGAAACCAGAAAGTAGAGCAGCAGTTGCCTATAGGCTTGGGCCATGGTTCGGTAGACACAGGAAGTGACCTCACATGGGTAGAAGCTTCTTTCAGGGATGGTAAAAAATATGTGAAATTGGATTACAATGATGACTACAGAACTTGCAAATCTCCTAGGAACCATTGAAGCATTAGGACTCAGCCTGATTTTGAATTAACTTTATAGCATAAGGAAGCAAGATGACAAGCTCTCTCTCTCTCTTTATATATATATATATATATATATATATATATTTTTTTTTTTTTCTTGGCACAGGGAATCGAACTCAATACCTTGCACTTGCCAGGCAGGTGCTGTGCCACTGAGCTACATCCCTGGCCCTAAACATATATGAAATGTATACCTTAAAATGGATGAACCTGTGGTAAGTCAGTAAAGCTGTTAAAAATGTAGGCTCATAGCCCATGTTCAAAAGTTACTCTCTGTGGTTATGAATTTGGTGCACAGTGCCTTATTTCCATTTGTACTCGATTACAGGGGTTGAATTTTTTAGAAATCCTCATTTAAATGTAAAGTTTGAAAATATTGAGCATTTGCACAGTCTAAAAGTCAAAACCAGACAGAAAGCTGCTGTGTGAGGAAGCATCCTCTCATTCTTCTGCCTCACATGCAGACACTGTCATCAGTTTCTGGTTTGTCCTATGTTCCTTCTGCATCTGTGGATTCGACCAACAGCAGAAGGAAAACATGCCAAAGAAAAAGTTGTGTCCATATTTCTCATTAGACATTTTTCTTGTCATAATTCCCTAAACAGAGCATAACAACTATTTATACAGCACTGATGTTGCATTGTTATTAGTAATTGGGACTTTTAAACAGCAGGTGTTCTTATTTTCAAAGTGGGTTTATTGTAGACAACATAGTTGAGTTTGGTTTTTAAACCCAACTGACCATTGCTGTCTTCTAATTCCTGCATTTATACTACTGATGTTCCAAGTAATTACTCATATAGTTGGATTAAGATACAGTATTTGTTACTCTTTTCTACTTATTGCTGTTGCTCTTTGTCCCCGTTTTTATCTTCTTTTTCTTCCAAATATGGTTTGATTTGAGCATTTCATATTTTAATGTATCTCTTTCTTGAGCATGTAGTTATACTTCATCTTTTGTGGTTAACCTAGAGTCTGACAACATGCATTTAGAACTAATCTACGCTCATACTAACACTGTACTACTTCATGGATAGTGTAATTTATAATAAAACAATTAGAACTCTTCTCTCCCAGCTCTTATATCACTGCTATCATTCATTTAACTTATATACGAGAACACAAACAGACACACACATACAAAAGTATCCATAATTTAAATATCAATTAATTCACATAATTGAAACTCATTGCTATTATTATGAACAAACCATTATGTTAAGAACTGATCAGTTAAGAATTGGAAAATGAAAGTTTGTATTTTATCTTAAAAAATGAAGTATATGGGAGAACTGCATAGATTCTATGCAAATACTACACCATGTTTTATAAGAGACTTGAGCACCAGAGATTTGAGTATCTTGGGGTGGTGGTAGGATCCTCAAACCAATCTTTCACAGATGCCAAGCAACCTACACAGGGTTTCTGTTATTTCCCCTATTTCTTATATAAAATGTAACATACTTGTAGATAAACTTGCCTCTTCATTTAACAAGAAAATGAGCTAATGTGAATAAATGAACCATGAACACCTTAATTCACAGAGATCTTCCTCCTTTTAAATGGCTGCAAAGTCTATTTCCTGGACAGCCTTTAATTTCCTTGGCCAATCTTGGATGGCTCAGTCCTTGTAAACACTGCTGCAGGAAGTGTCCTTTGTCATGTGCGGAGGCACGGATCTGTGGCTGGATCCCAGTGGTAGGTTTGCTGGGTTGCTGAGAAAAGTACATGTGTGAGCGTGTGTGTGTGTGTGTGTGTGTGTGTGTGTGTGTGTGTGTGTGTGTTCAAAGAAACTATATGGACTTACATTTTATTTCATTTCATTTCATTTTATTTTATTTTCTGAGACAGGGTCTCTCTATGGACATCAGGCCAGCCTTGAATTCATTATGCCCTCGAACTCATGGCAAATGTCCTGCCTAAGCCTCCCAACTGATGGGATTACAAGCATAACGCCACCATGCTGGGTTCTATGTATGGTTTTACCAGTTGGAGACAGCCACAGCCTGCTGCCCTGAGCTGTACCGTGTTATCCTGCCACCAGCAACTCTATCACGAGACGTTGTCTGGCACATCTATGGCATGTTGCCAACTAGAAATGAGAAGTGGAATCTCAGAATCTCTTAGCCAAGGATGCTAAGCCTGCTTCCTTAGGGGAGAGAAGGCAGCAGGGAGTAGTCAAATGCCTGGAGCAGTACCATGGGCTTCTTCTCTTCCCAAGCAGCCCCAGACACCTGTGTAGGTCTGGCAAACAGGAATAAAAGAGCTGGAAACTCATATTTGGATCTCTTTATTCTACTCAAGAGAAAATGAATGTGATACTGGCAAGGGCTCTTCTGGTCTCAGTGTGTTTTTGTGTGAATTAGAGCAAGCTCCCCTTTTTTCCTGGGTCAGAGCTCACAGCTGACACAGCAGAGCCATGCTCAGCTCCTACCTACCCTCTTGGCTGGGAACCCTTGTGGAGGGCCCAGCCTGAATCCCAACATGTGGCAGCCTGACACAGTGTTCCATAGGTTAACTTTTCAGATGTCCCTACCAAAGATGAGGCTGTTTGCCCATAAGATTTCCTTGTGGGAAGGAAGAGAAGAGAAAACACATTAAAAAATAATTGCCTGCACACACAGAGCACTTCTCAAGTGAGAAGCACATTTGTGCACGTGATCTCCTGGAATCCTTACAACAGCACTGCATGGCCCTAAGGGACGCTTGGTTTCAGCACCATCTTCTCCTGAGGGAGAGATGAAGCGCTGGCAAGTGAAGCAATGTGCGTGTGCTCTCAGTTAAAAACAGACACTGGTGGCTCCCAGGTGTCACAACACCTGAGAGGTATCCTCCTACCTGGAACTGTCAGCTCTGGCTGCCTGTCTGCATGCTTACCTGCCCGCCCATCCACCCACCAACCCATCCATCCATCTATCCATCCATCCATCCATCCATCCATCCATCCATCCATCCATCCATCCATCCACCCACCCACCCATCCACCTGTCTGGTTCATCCATCCATTATCCACCTATCTATTCATCCATCCATCCATACATACACTTTCTTTCCTGCTTTCTCTCCTTTACAATAGAATCCCAACCTTTTTTGATTTTGTCTTTTTCAAGCAAAAATTTTCTATAAAATCCCAGTATACCAAGCTAAGATGTCCCAACTGAACAGGAGGGTGGAGGGTGTGCAAACCCTACCCCTTCGCCCTCCCTGTTGCAGCCTGAGGAATGCAAAATCAGCACTGTTTCCAGCTGCTTCCTATTAGTCCTGCTTCATACTCATGGCCTCAGGATTCAAAAACACATGGATATTTTTCTCCATTTTCCTTATAAGTATGACTAACACACATGTAGATACACACACACACACACATGTACGTGCACATGAACGCACAAACACCATCTGTTTTTTTCTGCCTCCCAGAAAGTGCCCAGTGCATAAATGGAGCCACAAGCCTTCCTGCCTCTTTGCCTGGGCCTCTGCAGGCTGTACATTCTGGTCCTGGGAGGGAGCAGACTCCTACAGTGGAAGATGAGCTGGGTTGCTTGTATGAATAAAGGCTTTTTCCAGGAGGAAAAGAAAAGTGAAAGTTCCAGGCAAGTATGAGAGGAAGCTTTGTAGACACTGAGTTAGCCGATATCCTAAAGGTGTGGCTCACTCTTCCCCACATCCCTTGGGCACTACTACTGCTATATCACCAGGGCAGGTCTCAGTGGCCACCAGCCTCCTCTAGATGACAGCCCCTCCCAGCAGCCTCCTCCTGAGGCAGGAGACAGAGCTGAGGAAAGTCTAGTGTGTGTAAGACATGGTGCAGTGTTTAGGGTGGAGTTTCCATTTATTTGGCTTTGGGATCCAGAGGCAAATCTAGGTGTGTCTGGGCGGTTCACGGAGGGGTGGCCTTAGCGTCTGTGTCTGGTCCGCTGCCCCTTCCTCTTGAGCATTGCTCCCCTGTTCTGCCTTCCTGGCCACCATAAGCTAAGCAGCTTTGCTCTGCCATGCCTTCCACCATGTTGTTCCTACCCCAAAGCCAGTAGACTGCAACCCAAATCCCCAGAAACATGAGCAAATTAACTTCTCCTTCTTCAAATTGTGTCAGGTATTGTGTCCAGCAATGAGACAGCTGATTAACACACACAGCATAACCTCAGCCTCGAACCCAAAGCCTGTACAGGCAAGTGGACTGGTGCTCCTTCCTCTCACTTCCCCCTATGCTTGCATCTTCATCTACAAAGGAAGCAAAGAGAAGTTCAAGAGGGACACAGAAAGTCCAAGTTTGGGATGGAGACAATGTTTTCTCAGCTCTTTCAGCCTGTCTAAAATGCAACATTACTTACAAACTTTAGAGACTTACATACTATTTCCTATTTATTTACACAGCTTTCTCTTCCCCAGAAACCACTGGAAAGTCCACTGGAAAAAGTCACCACTCAGCAGTTGTAGTCCCAGGTGAGTGTCCCTTATTTAAAACACTTAGGACAAGAAGTGCTTCAGATTTGGGGATTTTTGCATTTTGAAATATTTGAACATATGTAATGGGGTATCTTGGGGAATTAGACTTAATGCAACACTCACTTGTGTTTCACATATACCTTATCACCTAAAGTACTTTTAGTATCACCTAAAGTACTTTTATATGTTATTTTTAGTGTAGCTGTATTTTGACTGTGATCTGTCACATGAGGTCAGGTGTGGAATTTTTCATTTGTATGTCATGTCAGTGCTAAAAATGTTTTGGATTCTACAGCAGTTTGGATTTCAGGTTTTCAGATTAGGGATATTCAACTGGCAGTAGTGGGTTTAAGAATTAGATGTTTTCAGGTGTCATGGTTTAGATCGAGAATGTCCCCAAGGTCTCATGCACTCATAGGCAGGCCGTTCGGAAGGTGATCAGACTGTGGGGGCAACACAGCTGAATGTGCTTTAGGAATTGGGGCGTGATGTGGCAGGGTGTATCTCCTTCCCTGACTCCTTCCTTCTCTCTCTGCTTCCTGGTTGCCATGAGGTGAGCAACTTTCTTCCTTCCAGGCCCTTCCACCATGCCACTTCTGCACTAGAGCCTGGCAACTGTGGACTGAAATCTCTAAAAACTGTGAGGCACAATAAACCTCTCTTCCTTTAAGCTGTGGGTGCTGGGTATTTCATCCCAGTGATTAGGAAAGTTTCTTAGATGGAGGGGAATGCAAAGATCTTGGTTTTGCTAGTTTTGCAGCATTAACACTCCAATCATGGCTGATTTCAAGCTACCAGCAAAAAAATCCCAGAATGCCAAATTAGGAAGAGATGTGCACAACCAGTCTTGCAAACCCATGCAAACCAAGGACTCCCACACACCACTGGCCCCCAGAACATGCACCCTTGCTTCCCGGGTCACAAGCTTGAGATGGTCATGCACACTCACCTCTCTCAAAGGAATTTTTGATGTCATTGACTTCCACCTGAGATCCTGGCACTCTGAAGATCCCCTGCTGCTGAAGTCCTAAGAAAGAAAGAAAAAGAAAGAAAGAAAGAAAGAAAGAAAGAAAGAAAGAAAGAAAGAAAGAAAGAAAGAAAGAAAGAAAAAAAAAAAGAAAAAGAAAAAGAAAGAAAAAGAAAGAAAATAGTAAATGACATTTGACTTTAACTCATCAGACCACTGGGAGTATCAGTGGCTTACCCCAGCCTGTCTCCCTCCATCCTTTATAACTGAGTGGTTTCCAGTGAAAGGCTCCTGGCAGAAACCCAAAAAATGACCTGCACAGTGCACTCCAGCTGAGCAAATACTTGACACATCTTGCTTTACAGGTCAGGTCTGGGGCCCCCTGCTTGAGCTCGGAGCTGAGGATGCAAGATATTTACAAGGGGTGATCGAAAAATATGATAAACACTTAAATTAAAATTAGAAAACTTATTACAGTAAGGGACAGATTGCTATGAATAATGGGATAAGTATGTTCAAAGTGAAGGAGAATATTTTTGTATTTCGAGGGGGATTAATCGCAGTGTGCCTTTTACTGTAATAAATTTTTTATTTAGACATTCATCCTATTCTTAGAGAAATCCTCACTGATCAAATGTTTATGGCAATTTCTGTCAAAAACAGGATGGTGCCAGATCTACCTAATTCACCAGATCTGGCACCGTGTGACTTCTGATTCTTCCCAAGGTGAAAATGACTGCCAAAGGTAAAGGTTTTGAATTGATTCAAGATACTAAGGCACCCACATCAGGGCAACTAAAGACAGGAAAGGGGACCTCAAGGCTGCTTCAGAAAGTGGCAAGAAAGATGAGATTAAGTGTGTCCGAAGCAAGGAGAAGTATGTTGAGAAGAATTAATGGCACTGTCTTTTACCATAATAAATTTTTTAAAAATTTAAACATTTACAGTATTGGGCCAGGGATATAGCTCAGTGGCACAAGTGCCTGCTTGGGAAGCACAAGGTCCTGAGTTTGACTCCCGGTACAAAAAAAAAAGTACAGTATTTTGTGATCACAGCAAAATAACAACACTATTCCTTCTCCCTACTCAGGCACCCTCTTCTTTTGAAAAAAAGCCAGACACTGGAGTGCATTCAGGCCTGGGAGTAAAGGGCTTTAGGAAGGATTCAATTACAAAAGGAAAATGATCTCATTTTTTAAACATGTTTCTACACAGCCATAATAGAGAGGCCCTGATACCTGCACCAACCACAAGAAGCTGACAGGGGCCCACGCAGCTGGAGGACACAGCAGCCTGCCTCGGGGGAAAGGCATCTAAGTGGGAGCTCAGAGGCCTTTCCCTCCGTTTTTGTTACGTTAGGAAGTACTTACTCCAAAAATTCAGCACTCAGTCAAAAACATAGTTTATTTAATAAACACAGTTCGTTTCTTTGGTTAAACGATGCTGAATGTCCTCCTGCTCAGCCATGCTGCCCTCCTTTCCACTCTGGGCCTTTCTACCCACTCTCTGTTCTCTGTTCTCCCCACCTGGACTGCACAGCTCTCTGCCTCTACTCAAAGATCACATTCTAGACAGATCTTGTCCCACCCTGGCCAAAGCAGCACTTGCTTCCCAGAGCCATTGTCTATCTCCTTTCAGTGAGTTTCATTGTGTTGTTGACACCTATAATTATGTCACAGCTGGCCTTCTACATCCATGGCTCCCTGTCTGTGGATTGGACCCCTGGCTCATTGAGCATACTCAGGAGAGGACGCTGTGTGTGAACAGACACGTCCAGATTGTCCTTCTCATCACGCCCTAAGCAGTACAATATAACAACTGTTCTCATACCACTTCTGTGGTAACAGGTAGCCTAAATCATCTAGATATAACTTAGGATCTGTAGGGGGTCATCAGGGACTTGACTCCATGCATTCTGAAGGATGACTTGGTTATTTTTCTGTTTGCCTATTTCCTTGCCTTTTAATTGGGAATTTCAACCACTGAGGACAGGTGTTGTACATGTGTTATTGACACCTGAATTCCCATTGACCAAACAGTGCCTGTTATTCACTCAATAAATACATTTTTGGAGGAATGAATAAGTGAATAAGTATGAATTATCTTCTGGTGATACCATGGCTAACAAATCTCAGATACTATTTCCTTCATGTAGCTCCCAACCTAGTGGTGTTAAGTGACTGACTGCTTCCAGGGATAGATGGGGGTGAGAAAGGAACAGATATGGTCCTCCTTCCCACGCCCTCCCTGGACCTAGGCTCTGGGTCTCTCACTACTGCTTTCCACCCTCTCTACCCAACACACGGGCTGTAACGCAGCACCCAAAGCAGCAGCTGTTCTCCAGAGCATCCTCCCCACCCCCAGAAGCACAGCAGTGACAGGAAGACTTCCACCGTGAATGACAGACATCTCATTTCCTACAGAACTGCCCTGCACCTGCTCTGCAGAACTGAGGACATGGACCTTATATGAGCTTACCATATAAATTGATGTATCTGATGCAGCTCTCAACTACAAGTGGTATAGCTTGTCCTGAATCCTTAAGAAGAAAAACAAAAAAACCCATGAGCTTTATTGGGCTTGGCAACAGGAAAAAGACATTGCAAACACAGATTATCGCATCAAGCCAGAATATTAGTACCATCAGATAAGTAGGAAAACAAGCAAGGAACTGCTAACCATAAAGGCTCTATGAATAGGTACAGTAGAGGGTCTTCAGTTAAATGCAGAAGAAGGCATAGCTGTGATCATTTTAAAGAAATGCTCTGTCTTCCTAGCCAGCTAGCTAGAACTCTGGGCTTGGGAGGCTGACGGGCATGTCTGGAGCTGGGGACGGGACTCTGTGCTGTGGAGGGCAGGAGTCTCACTTGAAGACTGCTCTGCCTCCCCCTCCACCCTGCCCCAATTCAACACTCTTCTTCCAGTGTTTGGAAATACAAAGGCAAGTTCAGGACTGCATCCCATTCCCATGGTGCCTGATGCCAGACTAAGAAGAACACACCAGGAGATACGGGGCAGGCCCTCATGGTACTTTGACCTGAAAAGGGGAAGATTACTTCAGCCTGTGCCAGTACGGCGTAAGTATCCAGACAGTACACACTTTGCTGACCAGTAAACATCTGTGCCTGAGGGCAGTTTCCTTTTGGATTGCAGGATTGGTTGGCCTCTCTATTATTTCTATCACTTAAGTAGCATAAAATAAAATCTGTGCTAAGCTTTTTTGTACTGTTGACTGAATCCAGGGCCTTGAGCATACTAAGCAAGTGCTCCACCACTGAGCTACATCCCCAGCATCTTCCCAACCCCCTTTTCAGTGCTAGGGATTGAACTCTGGGCCTTCACATTGAACTACATCCACAGCAATTTTTTTTAAATTTTGAGACAAATTCTAACTAAATAGCTAAATTGCCCAGGTGGAATTTGAATTTGCCATTCTCCTGCTTTAGCCTCTCAGAGTACTGGCATATAGGCATGTGTCACCATCTCCAGTTTCTTTTTCTTTCTATAATTTTTTTTAAATTTTGAGACAGAGTCTTGCTAAGTTGCCTATGCTGGCCTTGAATTCACAATGCTTCTGCCTCAGTCTCCCAGCAGCTGAAATTATAGGCATGCACCATTATGCCTGGCTAAACGTTCTTAAAAGGACTGAATTAAATTACTAGCCTAAAAGGTGAGGGAACAATGAGGCATATGTAATATGCATCTGCAAGCCAGTAAGGATTTGGGGGTATGCTTTACTCGTCCACACGCCATCTGGAAATTCTGCCCTTGCTTAACTGCTGCTGGGGAGAGGAGAGGAGATGGGCCCATGGGCAACAGGCAAAGTTGCCTGTTCTGAGAGTCAGACCTAAAGACAGGCTCCATCCAGCTGCACAGGGCTCATGGGCCTTTCTAGTAAATACCTGGTTCCTGGTTCGAGCATTTCTTCTTCCTCTGACAACAAAAAATAAACAGGCGGCAGAGCAGGAGAAAAAAAAGAGATTATGCAGGAATAAGATCAGTTAGAGTAAGCAGATCCTTCAGAGTCCGTGAATGCTGAAATGCAATGGCAGCCAGCAAAGGTCCTGGGGAGCCTGGCAAGGAGCCTGGCCATGGGGAGGGCCACCCTGAGCTTGGACTTCACAGACTTTGGAGCTGCCCCAGCCGGCCCCCCAGCAGGCTTCCTAGCTTCACCCCAGCGCCACACTGAGGGGCCTCCAGCAGCTCTTGTCAAAGGCAGCAGCTCTGTGTACTGCACTGGTCCCATCTCCACCTCTAGCTGCTCCAAAACAAGAGGCTGCAGATCCCCCAGCCAGCAGGACCCCTATGTAAGCCTGGCTGCCCATGGAAAGGAGGGAGACAGAGTCACTCTAACATTGAGCCCGGTATTCTGCTCAGGAAGCCCCACCCATGAAAAGTTCACTCTACACACTCACGGTTGTCAGTGACCTCTGAAGGGGCCAGGCTTCCACCCAACTCCAAATACACATGGTTCCCTATGTTGTCCTCCCCGACATCAGGCAGATCTTCCTAGGGCCCCCACTTGGCCTCAATTGCCTGCCTACCCTTAGACTCACCAGGCTAGAGAGCCCCAGTGGGGATCCAGAAGCTGGGACAGGCCTGGGTGCAGGAGCTCAGAGCACCTTTGTGGCTTCAGGGTGGACTCAAACGTCTGCCTTCACAGAAAGCCACCCAAGTTCAGGGGTCTGTCTGCCCTTTCACGGTGAGCAGTGGGCTGGGTTCTGGGTAGGGAGCTATGTCTCATCTGAGGAGGCCAAACTAAGAAGCAGGTAGGCGTATGCCTTTCTTTTGGCCACAGCCACCTGTCCTGTTCCCTGTGTCCCACCCCCTGCAATACCCTGCTCACTGATAGGTGGGCTAAGCCCACCTGAGACCTAGAGCCCAGCAGCCAGCCTGGGCTCAAGGAGCAAGACTCCTGGGGTTCCTGATCAGGGCAAGAGGCAGACTCATATGTGTGTGCACTGCCTAGGGCTCTAGACACATGGCCGATGTGCCCACTTCTGTCTTGGCACCAACTCGGGGGTAGGAAATCCCAATTCTCATTTTACAGAGCAAGGGGGGACTCTCTCCTGCCCCAGAGGTGGCCTCCTGGGCTTCGAAATGGACCCTTAGAATAAAAACGGTGACACCTTTTGTCTTGGAGGAGAAAAATATCAAGGATTTTGTAAGTGGCTGATGCAGGATGACTCCAAAGTCTGTGAAATTTATAAATCTAACTCCAATAACATGTATCCATTATTATGAATTTTAGGATGCTTCCTGGTCCTGCTGAGCCTTTGTAATTATGGAGTCTTGGGGTTATCATTGCACTGAAAAACTTTTCATTGGTGTGGTTTTTGTGAATTAGAGTATAAAATTAAATTCTGCTCTCCACAGTTGGAGTGAATATGCCGTGTTGCCTCTCCATTTCCAGAGAGCTGCCAATCCTTTAGGGAAAACTGCTGCCTCCAATCTGGTGCGCCTGGGTACCCAGCGCAAGTTGTCACACTTCTCTGATTTCAGGTGATGACCGTCTTTGTCCCAGCCATGCCACTATCATCCCTCTGGTCTGTCCTTTCCCAGGGCTGTGCACCAACTCCAGCCTGCTGCCACTGCTCAGGTGCCTGGGGCTGTCCCACTTCGAAGGCTCTTCTCTGAGCCAGTTGACCAGGGACCCTGTAGTGGGTTCCTCTTGCCCTTCTGTGCCTTCACTGGGTTCACAAGGCCAAGCTTTGGATAGAGAGCTTTATTCCAAAGACTAAGGTGCCTGCCCATTCACACACAAGATTGGCATCAGTTGGCACCAATGATGAAGTCCAGGCAAGAGGCTCTGAGGAAGACTGGGCCGAAGAGCAGCTGCAGCCGTGGTGACAGATCCAGAATGAGGAAGCCCCCAGGGGCTGCTTCCTCAGCACAACTTGAGTGCCTGCGCTTGCAGACGCTGTGACACGTTGATGGGAAGGAAAGCGCGGCCACTTTACAGTCACACCATATGCAGGACCTCTCTATTGAGAGAATGCAGAATTCCACAAAGAACTTGATTTTCAAATATTTCAGGTTACAGTCAATTCCTTCCAAGTATCCTGACTGATCACCCACTTGCAAAGCGAGGATGGCATCTCTGTCACTGAGCCTTTACTCCCTCCATCCTTCCTGTCAGAGCTTCTGTGTGCCCTGTTCTTCCAAGGATCACTGAGTCTCCTTCTAAGCTCCTCCTAAAGTGCCCCACCCCTGCTCAGAGCCTGGACTCCCAGAGAACTCACTCCCGCAGGAGCAACCTGCATGGTGCTCAGCCTGTCTGCCTACACTGCTTGCTTCTTTGCCAGAGACCTCCCAGGCTCTGCTCTAGGCTCCTTGAGGGCCAGAGTCAGCAGCTAGCATCTTTCTTCTGGGCATGTGGCTCCTTCAGGCCATGGAAAAGTGAGAGGAAAGCCTTGGAGGAGGGAGGAGAGAGGAGGGAGGAGGGAGGAGGGAGGAGGGAGGAGGGAGGAGAGAGGAGGGAGGAGGGAGGAGAGAGGAGGGAGGAGGGAGGAGGGAGGAGAGAGGAGGGAGGAGGGAGATAGGGTCTGTTGTGCCATAGCCTGCACTCTATTGGATGGCAAACCACTTATGTCCCCCCACCGTGCCATGGGGGTCCTTTCGGGGCACCTCCTATGGTACCCCACAGTCAGTATCCTAAAGAAGCCTTGCCGTTCCTGGCTCCTGGGCATTCTCAACTTGAGCTTTGCTCTTCTGCTGTTTCCACTGATCTCTCTTCCCCAAACTCAGCCTGCAAGCACAGACAGTTCTGGGACCCAGGATGGTCCTGCCTGCCTCACCCATGCCTGAGGCTGACCAATATCCAGTCCTTCTCTGTTCTGCAAGTCCTGTGTTATATTGCATCTGAGGATAGAAGATAGAGAGCTGGTGCAGCAGCAGCTTCTATGACTCTACAACCATCAGCAATGCTCAAGACTTGTCTTCTAAGTGGTACCAGTCTTCTTTTCTATGATATCTTCATTGGCTGCTGGTGGGCTCTCGACTGGCAAGGGCTCTCCCAAGCCCTCTGAGTAATGTTAAAAGTGAACTTCCCTTCTTGCAATCCCCTACCAGTTGCTCTTGCAACTCCATCAGCACCTTACTTTCTCTTGAGTCATTGTATCCAGGATAGCTTGGCCTTACATCTTTCACATCAAAGAAAATGAAAAGAGAAATTCACCCAGCTGATACACTGTAATTTTCAGTTTAAGGAGTAATGGGTAACCCAGAATTCCAAAGGGACTTCCTCAATTCTTCTCCCATCTCCAAATCACCTAACAAGAAGAAAACCAAGCAGGACGTTTCTGTCATATAAATCGGACATGTTTCTCTCACTGGTGTTGGTGTAACTAAATGAAGCAGTAACTCCCTCATACAGAAACCACACGTTTCCTGCAGGTGTTTCCTTGGGTGGCTTTCGGCTCATGTCCTCCCGAGAGATATGGGTGTGAAATGAGACGGTGGGGAGCTTCTGACTGTCCCCCAGACACTAGGACTGCAGGTCTGGAAGTAGCAAATTGTGGCCGGCTGGGACCCCCATGCTGGCATCTCCCCTCCACTGGAACTTCAAGCCCACACACACACACACACACACACACACACACACACACACACACTCACACACACACAGGCCTGAGACTGCACTTAGGAGCAAATTATCAAAGCTGCTCTGACTGAAAATCCTCACTGAAGCTAAGCACAAGCTGCAGTGAGGGATGAACTCCCGGCCTGGCAGAGGGGATGGAGTGTCCATTCCGACTGGGGCAAGGCTGTCAGCTAGAGGGGTGGGGGGCTGCCATTACATTGGGTGCATTCGCGGACTCCACAGCTCCCCAGCAAGTACCTTAATGAACGTTTCCATACTGCCGTTAAAGAGTTTATGGCTATACACTGAAAGAGGCCTAGGTCTCCTCATTTTCTGTGGTTTAGGGGGAAGACAGGGGGGCCTAGGGGAAAATGGAACAAAAAAATCAAGAAAGCAACCAACATAAACATACAACTGGGAAAGATGCTTTTGAAACCCACACCTGGAAGTAAACAGAAAATGTAAATGGAAGCCCCTGGCCCCTAACACATTGGTTCCCAATGTTCCATCTGAAGGCCTTTGGATGTTTTAGGAGATTTGAATTTACCCACAATGCCAAGCAGGAGCAACTCTCATGTAACACAAATGCATTCTAAATTATAGGGAGGGGGAAACAGTCCAAGAAATCATGAGACTCAAATCCAAGGCTGTCATCCTACAAAGCTGACCAGATGGAGCAGGAGCAGGGGAGAGTGATAGACTTAGTTCCCTAAGAAAGCAAGAGACTTTCAAAAGTGACCAGGTGGGTTAATTTTCATTATGTTTGGTTTAAATTCATCACCACATCTCAACTCCCAGTGTAGCTGGCCACTCATCTTCCTGGCCTCTTTATATTTCAAAATGCACTTGACTAAAATGACTAATCTTTACTTCATTGGTCTGGGAAGCAGGTAATTACTAGTCTCATTTCAGAGATGAAGCAACTGATGAGGCAGGTTGCAGCTTCTTTGGGGCCCCCAGGTATCTCAGGATGATAACATTCTATTCTTTAGTCAAGTGCACTTTTGGTTAAAGCACTTTAAAACCCCTTATCATACTCAACACCATGCCAGCATATGGCTCAACTTTACAGAGGTAGAAACTGAAGCATGGAAAGGAGAACTGGCAGAGCCAGGTCCTAAACCCAGGTCTTTCCAGCTCTGAGTCCATGGTTTTTCCTACCAGGTCGTGATGGAGCGTCAGGGCACCTTGTCACTTCCAGCCAAGAACTTATCTACCCCTGCTAATCCTTGGCATGGCCTGTGGCTGAAAGTGTCTTGCTTTACTTTAGGATCGCCACTCCCTGTGCTCTGATCTTGGCCACAGGGAGGGGAAAAGATACCACAGTTTTTCAGGAACAACAAAACAGCCACAAACACTAGCCCTGCTTCCAGAACTGCTCACCATGCATATGCCTGTGTTGGCCCAATTGCTCATCTCAACACCCAGATTCGCTTGAATCACTGCTGCCAGATTTCCTGGCCAAAGGCTTTTTGAGGCTCGCAGGAGGCCCCTACCTGAGAGGCAATTCATTTTCTAATGGCTTCATTCAAAATTTGGGAAGAAATAAATGGGGACTCAGCCAGGCACAGATAATGGCCACACACAACAAGCAGAGGCTTGTTCCCAAGTCTCTGTTGATTTCTGTGAATGGGTGTGATGTCTGTGGACAGCACAGTCAGCCAAAATCAATAGAGTTTGTGCCACCTTTCTCGCCGGTATGTGCCTGTCTCCTCGAGCAGCCCAGCTGTCCGGGGAACTGTGTGCAGCTCCTTGGTGTCTGAGCACTGAGCAAATGCGGCTGGCTCCAGGACATGCATGAGCAGGGACACAGCAGAGTCCAAAGAGCATGCCACCCAAACACTGGGACTGAAACAATGGCACAGACAGACCCAACTTCTGAAAAGAAGCAACAGGCAAATTATTTCAAGCCCATCTTAGATCTATGTCAATTTGGTTAGCTAAGTCCATGTCATTTATTTTTCAGAAATAACTTATTGCTTAAGGATATGTGAATGTAGGGAGGAGTGAAATTTCTTCCAGTGGATCTGTTTCTCAGTTTCCAAATGCAAAAGAGAGCGCCTAAAACAGGACATGAGGCCGTAGGTTTTGAGTGTGGGGATCAGGAATAACTCAAGGCTAGCAAAACTGTCATTCTGTTTTCATGATGTTTTAGGTTCCAGATCACTTCCTTATCTCACACTGCAGGACCTCCTGACAAGCACCCTGGGAAGGGGGCACGAATTATTAAACCCATGTTACGAATAAGGAAAATGAACCCGTGTGAGATGAGGAAACTTGCCCGAGGTCATACAAATAAAACATGATTGAGGGTAGGGGTGGAATGCAGCTCGTCTACACAAGGCTCCAATGTGAGCATGAAACTGAAAAAATGATTTAGAACAACCAGCAGTAGCGTTAAATATCTACTGAATTCTCATGGCCTGCAAGAGTGGAGACATGGTACGGACACAGGACACCCAGTGTCAAAAACTAAGGCGTTGAACCAGAGGGTTTTCTTAAAAGAAGTCCTGAAATTTGCAAAGTGGCAAAAAAAGGAAATAGGATATGTTTCCCTATTTTTCCTGCCCAATCCAGAAAGCAAAGGACTGGTTTGATCCCAACAGGATTTCTCTCTTTGTGTGAAGTCTCTGACAAGGAACCGTAGCTATCCCAACTTTGCATGACATCAAATCTGTATCCACTTACTGAAGTGCTGGGTGGGGCAGGAAGTGGGGAGCAGGGGGACAGCTCAGCCAGGGGAAGTGGGGCAGCCTAAGCCTTCCATCTCGTCTGCTGCTCAGTTGCAGAGCAAAAAGGAAAGAAAAAGAGAGAGAGAGAGGCAGGGAAAACAGAAACAGAGAAAGCCATAGAGAGGAAGAAAGAGAAACCAGAGACCAATGTCCCCTTTCTGCCTTTCAAACAAGATGAAAATTAATATACATTGGCAACACAGGAGTTGGCCTCAGAGTCATTCTGTGTCAAAAAGGATGTGATTAAGAATTTCCCATAATTAAAAAAAAAATTTCCCCAAGAAAACCCAGCAGACAGGGTGTTGATATCCAAAATGGGGGCAACACTGAAGTTTGATGGTGGTAGGGCTCCGGGAGCCTACGAGTGAGTCCGCACCACACTCTAACTGTTTAGACATAACATCAGGTGTTTCACCTCTACTCCAGGCCATGTGGGCGTGCCAAGCTGGTTTAAGGTAGCCAGACTTTCTCTGAATCATAATAATTAAAACCTTACATCTGCATCTTCCTCTGCCACTCACTATACACTTTTTAAGTGTATTAGCTCATATCTGGTCAGCCAAAATTACAAGGTTATTACGAATTTAAGATATTCTAACATAAAGTTCTTAAATGTGAGAAAACACATTGCAGCTCATGTGCAAAACCTAGTCTACCTCTACTGTACAACATAAATGGCAAGTTGGCTGAGGGAACCTTTTCAAGTGACCATTCCCATGGTACTGCCCATGTATGGGGTCTATGAAGATACAGAGAGCGATGTTTCACCTTTAAGATGAATTTTAGCATCACTTGCACAGTGCCTTGAGTTCCACAAGTTAATGGCGTGGAGCTGAGGAGAGGCTTTTACTTTACTAACAAAGTCACCTTTGACCTTGGCCAGGGGTCAGAGGGCATCACCTAGGTCTTGGGTGTAGGGTGGAATATCTAAGTGGGAGGCCTGATAATCTAAGTTTGGATTTACCAGACCCCTGTTCAAAGAGTGTGTGGAAGACAGCATCTCAGAGGGCTTTATTTTAAAAAAAAATAAAACAAAAGCCCCCAACTTCCCCTGAGGGAGGAGCCTAGGCCTAGCCAAGGGTTTGATCCTGTATCTCCCCTTCTGCCTTCTGCCAGATCAATCAGTCTTCCACATGAATCCTAGGAATTAGGAGGAAGTGAGAGATGACTCAATTCATTTCCCATCTGTTTCATTATTTGCAGACTTGCGTTAAATATGGCTTGTGCTGTTTGGGGGCATTAACAACGTCCTCTTGCCAGAACAGAGTATTAATATGTGTGTATTAATATGTGTGTTTCTGAGAGGTTCTTCAAAAGGGACCCTGCACATCTGCTGCCCTCTGTGTGGGGAGCTGCTGGCCTGGCATGACGCATCCTCTTGCCCCCATGGCCTGGGCCCAGGGCAACAGGTATGCAGGCTTCACTTGGGGAAGGCCCTAAAGCCCTGGGCCCCGCACTTCCCAGGCCTCAGCTGGTCTGCCGCCTCCTTGAGGAGGTAGGAGAGTTCAGGGCTCACCGCAGGTCTTGCCAAGTAGAGTAGCTTTCCAGGGTTCTGGGCCCCTGGAAAGAATTTGCACAGCAAGGAAGAATGGTATCCAGTCCCTGGGCCCAGAGTCAGGAGGAGCAGCTCTCAGCGTCTTATGAGGGTGGCACAGTGACCAGGCTGACTCACTATGGGTAGTGCAGCAGTTCTTGCTGGGGGCTCAGGAGTGGACGGCTCTAAGGAGCAGCCCGGGCCTCGAGGGCTGCTCACAGAGCTGAGCTCTGAAGGCCAGGCAGGCCAGCTCAGCTGCTGAGTGGGAAAGTGTGCACTGGCTCTGGTCTGCTCAGAGAAAAGCGCAAAGGGTAACAATGAACAAGCTGAAGGGAAAGCAGAAGTTGCCCAAGGCTTACTCTTTCCTCAGCCCATCAAGTGTCCCACTGTGCGGACAACACGGTGCCAGAGCACGCGGCTACAGTGTGCGCATGCGTAAAACCAGCTGCGGAAAGGCCAGCCAACCCCAAAGCCTGGGAAAATGAGCCTGGGCAGGGTCTCCCCTGTCGCACACTGGGGCAAGAGGAGTCAGCAGGCACCCGACAGCCTCCGGCCTCTCCCAGCCGCCCCAGCCTCCTGGAAGGGATTACTGCCCCACCCGACAGGCAGCACCAAGGGTAAAAGCCCTTTGGCTCCCACGGCGCCCCCACCCCACCCCACCTCGCCATGATGGGCAGACCAGTGACAGTGGCCAGGGACTGTTCCTTCCCTCCAGACCCAAGTCCAGCCCCCTGCTCTAGTGAGCCCCACCCCAGCCCATCCTGCCCAGTCCCAGACAGCCGGGGGAAAATCAAACAAGATTCTCCAGCTCTCACCTGGTGGTGCCACATTCTGCTCTTTCCCCTGGGGAGAAAAAACAAAAAGTACACATTGATGTTTAACTGGCTTTTAAAAAAAAATCAGAGAACATTCATCTTTTCTTAAAAATAAAACAACAAAAAGATCTCCAGTGCCCCCTTAATTCCATGTTCTAACCTCCTGCCTGCGGCCACCACTGACTCACCATCTCTGTGGCTGTTTAGACCAGAGATGGTGAACCTTTCAGAGCTTTCAATGATAACGAACAGCCAGCTGCACTGGCCTGTGTGCTACAGGTTCGCCACTGGTCTAGAAGTTTCATGTGAACAGAATTACCACTCACAGAGTGTTCTGCGTCTGGCTCCTTTGTTTAGCCTGGTGCTTCTGAGATTTATTCGCCAAGCATGACTTGAACACACTGGGTTGGGTGGATAGACCACATTGTACTTGTCTTTTACCACCAACTGCTTCTCGGTGTCTAACCCCTGAGACGGGTCCCAAATCTACTCCTAACGGTGCCCCTGGTGTAGTGGTATCACGCAAGATTCCCAAATCTACTCCTACCTAAGTCCTCAACAGTTCAATACACACATCCCCACCCACCCAGTTGTTCAAGAGAACTATCCTTGAAAATTCCCCTTCCTTCTTAACACATGTTCTTACTTCACTGCATCTCAACACAACCTCCATAGCCCAGGCCATGGTTATGCACAGTCTGGACCATTTTCCTTTCAATTGGGTTTCCTGTTCCACTACAGTCCATCCTGTACTCATCAGCCAAAGAGATGTTTTTAAACTGGGACTCCCATCATGCCATTCCCTTGCTTAGGACCCTCCTGTGACCTCTTATCATTCACAGAATAAAACCCAAGACTCTCTTTCTAAGCCTTTTGAGATGGGAGTAGGCCCTTTGAACTACTCGCCTATCTACTTGGACTACTTCTTGGAGCACGAGGCTCCAGACACAGCTGCCTTCCACGGTCCTTCAGCTGGCCTGACATGCTCTCTCCCCACATCCGTGCATGGCTGGCTCCTGCTTGCATTTTGGGTCTCCACTGAAAAGCTGGGTCCAGAGAACAGCCTCTTCTGTGAATCTCCTCTATATATCCTCTTTCTCTAACTTCTCTCTACATACTGCTTCTCATTAATATTTTTCTTTCATGTTTTTGTTATTATCACTAAGGAACACTATGTTTTATGAGAGAAGGAAGTTCATCTGCTCTTAAAGCTGCTATAATACCGCAGTCTTGGAAGGTGTTCAGCCCAAAGTAAGTGTTCAATACATCTGTTGGATGAGCAAGTGAATAAATGAATGAATGAATGAAGCCTTTAAGATGTTCCATGCCCGATGATTGTAATAGACCATATATAGATCGTGCACTAGTGTGATATGTGCCAAGGGACACTTGTACGCAAGGTGTCATCCCTGTGATAACAGAGGAGCAGAGAACGGAACAGGTTGAGAGGCTTTCCTGAGATCCTGCTAAGTCACACAGTTTGGATTCCAGTCCAGGTAGTCTGGCTTCCAACCAGACCTTTGCTTGGAGAATCTGGTTCTCCCACACAACCATAGGGTGAGGGAAGAACAGAGATCCTGGTGCCTCAAGCTCAGTGACTCCCTGCAGGTGGCATGTGACATCCCTTCCTCCTCAGCTTCAGAGACATCACACCCTAGAAGACAGCTGCCTGGGCAGGCATGAAGTGTTTAGAATGAAGTCATTAAGTGATATATTTTCCTTTTCCTATTCAAACTATACTGGAAATTCAGAGGTCTGAATCCCAGTGTTAATTAACTCTTTTTCCTTCTTTGTGCCTCAGTATCCTTTTCTGTATTATCTGTCTGGTGCACTGCAGGCGCTTATGTCCCTGGATCTCACTTACCAAATAACAGCAATATTTGTTTCTTGGTCATTGTGAATTCTAAAAATGTCTCCTGCCATTGCCCAAGACCCCTGGAGGCACGAGAACTAACCCTAGTTGAGAACCTCTAGACCAGCACTACCCAATAGAAATGCAAACTGTATTTCTAGTAGCCACAATAAAAAGAACAAGGAGAAACAGTGACATTAATTTTAAGCATATATTATATTCAGCCCTATATATAAACAATATTATCATTTCTGTATGTCTCAATACAAAGTAAATAAGATATTTTAGGCTATGTTTTGTGTGTCCTATCTCTTCTGGTGTTTGTCTTACACATTTCAAGCTCAGTTCACGTGTCAAATATTCAACAGTCACATGTGCTTAGTGGCCTCCATAGGGACAGGGCAGCCCTAGATGCTATAGCCCTGTCCTGCATGAACAGAAGAGACTATGGAAAGAAAATCATGCCACATTGGAGCAGGAGAGAGAAGTGAGAGGAGGAGAGTACTGTACCATGGGTTCTGATTGGAGCTAAGCCACACATTGTTCTCTAATTCTTGACTGAAGTCACCAGCAGTCACAAGGGTAACTGCAGTGGGTTGAATTGGAGCCAAAAATCAAAGCAAAAAAGGAGAAAAGTTATGTAAAACAGGCAAATTTCTTGTGCTTAATTTGCTTGTGTGTCTGGGGTCTGTGGCAGATTCCTACCAGACACCAGTATGAGTTAAACTTTCATGCAGACCCAGCTTCTGTTAGAGCAGAGAGCATCCCCCGAAGGGGTCCTCTGCCAACAGTCTGGGACTGTTCCAGATGAGGAGCGTGGGGCATAAACCCATTGCTTCCCTCAGGCCCACAGCCCATGTGACTCCACTGACACAGTGAATTGGCTGCTCCGCCTGTCAGCTCCAGAGCGTCCCTCTCTCTGCACTCACTGTGGTCCAGGCCCACACTGTCAGTCCTTCTAACTCAGCACATTCTCCCTACCAGGGCAAATGCTGCTCCCGCAGCCTGGACCCTGCTTCCCCAGTTATTTCTCCTGGCTGACACCTTCTCAGCCTTTGATCTGAGCTGAGCAGTCTTCTGATTGCTCAGTTGAAATCAGGTCTCCTGGCTCCTTTCATACAACTTCACAGTAGTCCTGTCCACATTTGTCATCCATGGCACGTACCACAGCGACAACTCCCTACTCAGTACTGTGCACACATTGCATAATGATGCTTTGGTGAACAGTGGACATACATACAACAGGGCTCCCACAAGATTCTAATGAAGCCAAGACAGTCCCACCCCCAAGTGACATCACAGCCACCATAATGGCACAGTAGTACACTTCTTTTCTCACATTTGTGGTGATGCTGGTGTAAACACACCTCTGGACTGCTGATCATACAAAAGTACAGCATGTGCAGCTGATACACTTGACAGTAAGTGACTCTGCTATCCTTTGTGCCATTGTTTAGGACATCATCTTTCTACTTTCGAGAACAGAAGTTGTCTGTAAAATAGTGTGCTGTATTACACTGGCAAAGCTTTACACATCTGGTGCTTCCTGCAGGTCTCTATGGCATAATTTTTTCTTGTACATGATTTAATCTTGTGCTGCTTTGTTCATCATGGCTATAATGTGTTTCTATGTTTGCATATGTGCGTATGTATGTGCACATAGATATCCTAGGTGTGCAGTAGGTTAGACCATCCAGGTTTGCAGAAGTGCATTCTGTGATGTCCGAAGGATGATGAAATCACATCTCTGAGAGCATGTCCCTGGCATTAGGAGATGCCTGGCCCCAGTTTGTCAACAGAACTCTCTCTTCCCCATGAGGGCAGGGACCTTATCTCTCTCTGTCCTCTGCATCCCCAGGCCTGGCCATGCATGCATGCTTTACGTAGGTAGGCAGGCAGGGAAAAGGAAGGGAGAAGGTGATAGGGTTTAAGATCTGTGGCGTGACAGGACATACTTAAGGCAAAGAACCTAGCATATTATTCTTCAGCTTTACACTTACATTCTAACTCTTAGGAACCCAATATATTTAGGAATATAGTGTGTCAACTTCTAACAGATATCAGAAATCAAAAATTGCCTTACCTTCTGAAACCTGTTGGGCTTTTTAAAATATATTTTATAGTTGGTGCTGCAGTCATGTTCTAGGTCAGACTGTCTGGTCCCTGCAGGAGTTTTGTTCTAATGGGCTACTAAATTTTGGCCTTAGAAGGTTATGTTCCATCCCTTTTATAGACAATACATGATTCACCCTCAAGGGGCTTCAGTAACTTGAAAAACCACCCGAATCCTGGGTGTAAACCCTTAAGCTTACGGAATAACCCACCCCAGAACAATAAATAGGTCACAGATATAAAACCCAGGGTATAATAAAGAGAATTATCTGGCCAGTACAAGGACATAGCCACAGCCATGGGCAGATGAGGGTGTGCGCTGTCTGCTCACATGATGTGTAAATAGCACCATTTATAACAAGGAATGCCAATTTTCTGGGCACCTAGCAGCTTTTTTACTTGTGCATTTTGGGGTCCATTATGTTCAATAATTCACTTGAAAGTAAATATGACCCAGAAGACCTTGTGCTTCCTCTAACTTGTAGTTTCTTTGAGACATTCTGTCAAATGAGTATTATAGAGAAACTGAGGCACTAGACATGATCTTTTATTTTATGAAAGAAAAAAGCCAGTGTCTTTTTAGCCAAATATTCTTTTGGCCCTCATATTTCTGGCCTGATTTTTAAGCTTCTAACTCATTTATCCCCATACAAAATAGCTCTGAGGTGACATAAAAGGTCCATCTATGCAATGTAACTGTACTCTGGCCTTACTTTTAGAAAAGCATTTTACAAAATGGAAGAGTCAAAATGCTCAGGTATGGGTGATTCATGATTGGGCACTCAGAAGAGTAAATTCAATAAGATCATGAACCCTCTTTGGGCTGCTATATTTTTCCACCCCCCGCTTTATACCCAATGGGAAAGAATTTGAGCAGTCGAAGTCAAATCCTCCTGGTTGCAAATTGCCTCTTTTCCCACATGTCCTAAGAATGCTTTATCACGTAGTAATGTACAAAAATGAATGGAGGTTTATTCCAATTTATTTAGCTTCAATTTTTTTCAGTCATTCTTAACTTCAGTTTATAATAATATAACACTACTCATACATTGTGACAAATACACCATACTAATGTAAGATGTTAATACAGGGGAAACGGAGCATATAGCATACAGAACTCAGTATTATCTTTTCTGTAAATCTATTCTAAAATTAAAAGTTCATTTAAAAAACTTCTCTAGAATTGACCAGTCTACCACAGTTATCTAGCAAAGGCTTTCCACAGCCGGTTCACTGGCGGACAGCACTGCAGACTGTAGGTGGCTCTATGCCGCCTGTTCCCATACTTCCCAGGCTGTATTTGCCCAGATCTTTTGCTGCTAATTAGGTTCAACCTCTAAAGTACATCTCTAAGCAAGATGTGCTTGAAAGCTAAATAAACCTGGAGGGTTAAATTGACCAGGGGTTGAATAACCAACCTAAACTATCATTATTATTATTACATGAAGGTCATTTACTCAAATACAATAATAAAAGGTTCCACCTGATAGTACTCAGAGAGGAACCTGAGAAAAGCTCTTTCTTCTGCTAGTCCAAAGGTTCACCCTGGATCTTATTTTCTGTGAGAACATCTAGTTTTCAAAACCCAGATCATGTGATTTCAGTATCACAAGTAGACAACTCAGAGCTGCCTTTCATTACACGACTCATGAGCAAGAGCCTAGGGTCCCAGGCCCACAGAAGCCAGTGGCCCCATTGACTGCTCATCACAAAAGCTGCTCCATCACATACCCTGCCTGTGCCCTTCTCGGACTTCTGTCTCTCCCCTTTCCCTTCATTCTTGCTGCTTTCTTCCCCGCTTGTTACCTACATCCCTCTCAAGCCCCTGTGCACCTCAGTCCCATACTGAAAATGCCACAACAGGCAGAATTTAGAGAGCAAGATAAGGAAAAGCTCATTGACGCTAACTCTTCTCCACCTCTACCCTTGTAACTGATGAGTTTTGACAAATGTATCCCTCCATGCATAATCACGGCCACGTCACCCTCATGACAGAAAGGAGATCCATGGTTGTTTGGAGCCAAGAAGAGGGGAATGACTGCAAAGGGACACAGGGAAAGTTCAAGGTAATGGATAGATTTCACATCCTGAGTTGAGTGACGGTCACACATGCAGATGCTAAGACTCTGAGGGAGGAATAAGCTTGGTGAGTTTTTAAGGGCACAGATCTGCCCAGCTGGGCTACAGCACAGTAAGGGAGAGCAGAGCACTCAGTGAGACCAGGAAAGCAGGTAGCGGCCAAAGGACGGAGGCCTCAGGTGCCTGGAGAGTAGGTGACATTTTATTACAACTACTACTGCAAGCCTTTGGGTGGCTTTAAACCTAGTCTCCAGGATCTTGAGCCCATAATGTTAAGTGAAGTAAGTCAGACATGAAAAGTTAAATTTTCATGCTTTCTCTTATGAGAACCATGGAATATAAATAAATTAAGTAAAATAAAGGTGAGATAGTAGGAAACAAGGAGGTAGACTTTTTGAAGACGGGCAAAGGGAACAGAGGAAGGGGGAGGGGGAACACAGGGATGGGGAAAACCGCATCAAAAAAAGTCATGACATAATATGTACCAGTCCCCCAAAACAAATGTAAATATAATGTATCACAAACATAGCCCAATAAAAAATAGTTTTTAAAAAGGACTAAACCTTGCCTTTCCATGTATGGATTTTCCTTCTCTAGCCAGATGTTCAAGAGTATTGCTGGCATGTGCTGCTGTGTATGGTGCCAACCTCTGAGACCCTGGTTTCCCCTGCTGTATGTCGTGGGGCCCCTCTGCCCCTTGGTTGTGCACCTTCTCCTTGGTCTAAGCAAAGCCTATGGCTCCCCCAACCTTCTGCTGCCAGCTGGGCCCGCTCAGCACCTGTACCCAAGCCATCTTCCCAGTCTGCCCAGCCTGGTCAGTGGGTCCAGGACCAGCCTCCCTGTGCCAAGTGCTCAGTGTCTCAAGCTTAAACAGTGCAGCAGCCCTAGGGTCATGACAAGATGGGGGTGATGAGGAGCCAGCTGCTCTTGGGGGCCCACACCATCTGACTTACCTTCGCCCAGCGTCTGCTTGAGTAGGTCATGCTTGGCCTGGAGCTTGGTGATAAGGTTACTGCCATTCACATACTCTTTAAATTTCTGTAAGACACAAGGCACAGGAAGTCATGCGTGGTGGGGCCAAGCGATGGGTACTCCACCTCTGGAACTGACCTCTGGGACAGAAAGGCCACAGGGAAATCAGGTCGCCCATGGGGATAGAGAGGCCTCCACGGCATCTGCTCCTCAATCTGGTGAGCAGCTGCTCAGTCCTAGGGACCTCTGAGAACACAAAGGAAGCTCACAGAACAGGAACTGTGACGGCTGTTTCTGTCAGGTAAGGGCTGCAGGCTGCACAATGCAAAAGGTGTCTTTGGTGCTCAAATCTCTACTGTTTTGGAGCATCTGGGGGCCTGCTGCTGGGGCTGCAGAGCTGTGCTGCGTCTGTCAAAGAGGAGCCAGGAATGAGCCTTCTCATCCGGCTCCACTCTGAAGGAGGATAGGCTTTGCAAGCCCCCAAGACTCTGGCCCATTAACCAAACCCACATCAGGTGATCCAGCTTTCTTTTCAGTATGGATGAGACAAAAGGGCAGGCACAGGAAGCTGCTTTGGCCAAGGAGCATAGGCAGGGGCCCAGACCCGCTGCAGGCTGCCTTCCAGGTCGTCAGCACAGAGGGTCAGAGATCATGCAGGACAGAGATGCAGCTGCCTGCCCACACTCAGCCCGGCCAAGCCTCCACACAGGCACCAGTGTCCCCACCCCCTCCCACAGACTGCTGCAAGCTGAGAACTGATGGGGGATTCCAACCCCCATGGGAGACAGAGACATAAACAATCTAGAAAATACTGCAGATGGTGGTGAAGCTACAGACAAAAATAAAGCAGGAATGAAGGGCTTGGGGGCCCAGGAAGGTGGTACTGCCAAGGAGGTGACTGAACCATTGGAGGAAGGAATGGGCCATGGGAGGAAGTCAAGAAAACAGCCAAGACCACTGCAAACCTGCCAGCCAGGTTCTCAGAAAGCAATCAACTCTCTCGCCCTACCCCACATACTCCAACAGAGCAGAGAAGAGAGATGGAGAAGGCCTGGAAGTCCACACTTCGCCATCCTCTAGTGAGGGCAGCTGCAGGGGAGTCGCTCTCAGGCAGGGACACACACACACACACACACACACACACACACACATGCCACACACAAGTAAAACCCATGTGCATTGTCTCGCCCACTGGGGGGTTCTGGAGTGACCAGCAAGTGATGGCTGTAGTGACCTCTCCTCTCTCCTTTTCCATGCTCCTTCTTAGCTCTCTTGGCCATTAAGAATCACTCTCCTTTATACTAGATGAGCACTCCACTATATTCACACTTGAATGGTAGAGACTCTTCACCACCTTGGATGACAAACAAAGAAAGCATCACCATGTTTGTTCTATCCACAAGGAAGCAAGAGGCCAGACCTGTGGTCACTCATTGTGTGGCCTTGGGCAGGACAGACTTATGGTGCTTCTCCAAGTGTGGAGCAGAAGCCTGGTGGCCTCATCCCTGGAGGAGGAGACTGTGAACATACTGATTCCTGCCCCCTGGTACTTCACATCTGACCTGTCATCCCTCACCCACGGCAGAGCCATGGTGAGACCCAGCAGCTTGAGTCACTCTGGGGTGGAAATGCAGTATGTGTCAACTACTGTTTCTTAACAAGGTAGTTGATAAGGCTAATCACAAGATAGAGTTGGATGTTAGAATTGGGTAGATTTGAGCAATGAGTCCAAGTTAACACCAACCTAGTTGCATGAATCAACATCAGCTAGTTACATAATTCAAACAACTCTGATTTAGGCATTGGCCTAACACATCACTTTTTTGGACAGACAAACATTAGGACATGGAGGCTATGGTCACTGAATATGCACAGAACAGGAGATCTGAAAAGACACCATGAGTGCTGAACAACTACATATGGACTCAAGCAATATGGAACCATCAACACCAGGAGAAAGAGGGTTGATAGCAGATTGGGGCAAAGGGGCTGAATCAACTGAGTAAAGACCAAGACCCAAATAAACTGAGATAAGCCTCACACAAAGGACAAGTCCCTGAGCAAACTAGCAGATGTCCAAGACACCTGGAATGCAAAGGACAAAGAAGTACGAAAATCTACTGTGGGCAAGAGGCTTGGCAACCACAGCACACCTGTATTTCTCTGCCCTTTTGCATGCAGAAGAAGTGTCTGTAAGCTAGTAGATGAAACCTCACCCTCACCCTCACCCTCACCCTCACCCTAACCCTAACCCTAAACCCAACCCCAACCCCAACCCCAACCCCAACCCCAACCCTCACCCTAACCCTAACCCTAACCCTAACCCCAGCCCTAACCCTAAACCTAATCTCCTTGTGGAACCCCTCCCAACAAGTGGGAGCTTCCCTTTTATTTTTCTAATAAGCCACACCCAGTTTGGTTTCCATTGTCATCCTGTAGGCCTCATCATCCCATCGCCATCAGGACAAGAGCCCAGGGTGAAAGAAAGCTGGTTATGCCATGAGATGAATCCCTCAAGAGGACACCTAAATAGCAACAGACATGAGACCCACACGGGACATAATCTACAGAACCTTTAAGAGGATAGTTCCTTATACAGAAGGGGTGAATATTTTGCTCTGTTCCATGCTGATCCACCCAGCTTTGTGAGTCGCACCTTAGAAGAGGCATCCACAAATGGACCCTGTTCAGGAGTCCCTGGGCTACCTGAAGTAAGAGTTTAAGGGAAGAATGAAAGATTGAATAAATTTAGACTGGGGGTAGGAAACACAGCTCCCTGCAACCACAGATACACTGTCATATAGAACTACCCTCCAAAGAACAGAATCAAGATCAACAGCCAGGAATCCTAGTGCACAGGTTTTTGAAGATAACAAAGATAAATGAAAACAATATCCAAAGCCAGTGGATGTTTTGAGAAGGAGGAAGCTTTTAATCCTGGGAGCACTCAAGCACTTTGGAAGACCTTCTGGCCAGGAAGATAGGTTCCTTCAATCCTAATATTCAAGATCCAATAAGTCTGTGTTGAACTGAACCCCAATTCCCAGTCTCCTTGTTTCTCTGTGCCTCTGGCCAAGTGGAAAATAGCTAAATTGGAATTTTATGTGAGGGGCTAGCAACTCATGTGCGATTTTCTTGGATTGCTAAGGATATGATTTCCAAAGCCTACACAAAATTTGAGACAATTCAGCACAATACCACATGTATATAACTTTAGGGTTGTTACTTGGGGCTTGCACCTGGCTCCCTAAGCCAAGTTTCTCTCACCCAAATAAGTAAGTTTCTTTTTGCTTCCTTTCTTTCTAGAGCAGGAGATTTTCAATAACCATCACACAAACTCAATGCCAGGGCTACCCGTTCGTAACTCACTTCTGGTATTTCAGAAAACCAAGCCGGGTGAATTTTTGTGAAAGAATGCTGAAAGGTTCTTAAACCTAATCAACCCTTGTGATTTTATAGATTTTCACTCAGGCTTCTCCCCAAAGTCACAACCAAGTGTTCAGCAGACACTAGCTGGATTCTGAGACCAGGATGCCACTTACTGTAAAATAAAACATCTCTGTCTCCTGCTGGTTGGCTCTCCTTTTGGCAATGTTGATCTTGCTCATGTAGGTCTCAGAGGCGGCTGACTTCACAGACTCTGTGGACCGGCTGTGTTGGAAAGCATCTGAGACATCGAAATCCTCCACGGTCAGCATGTCTTGTAAGGTCTGCATGGTGGCATCCAGGGTCTTTCTAACCTGGGTAAACACAGCATGTCCACAAAAACCCTTTATTCTCATAATGCCTTCCCACTGTATACTTCATTATTTTAGAGAACTCTGTAGGAAAGAAGCACGACCAAGATGATTATTCCCAAATATGTTGATATAGAAATTAAGAGAAATGAATCATTGGCTGGGGTGAGAAGCCAGGGAACCCAGTCTAAAGTCATTTTATTGTATTGCTTCTGCCAGAGGGAACTGTGGGGATTGTTACTGTGAACAAGGGACTCTAGTTTCCAGGTTTGGTTCTCTTTGCCTGGTTATGTGGTCCCACACCAGCTGCCCCAATGGGAGGTGGTTGCTTGAGTAGGGACAACAGTAGAAGATTCTAATTGCTCTTCCAGAATCAAGACGTACCACAAGCAAGCACAAGAAACTGGCCCCCACAACACCCTGTGCAAGATAGTGTCAGAGAGGCAGACCCTACACAAATGACAGTCATCCCAAAATAGCAGGAAAAACTGTCTACATTTGTTGTAAGATTATCACCATTCAAAGTCCTTTCTTGTCACTTAGACTTCAGCTAAAATATCACCACCTATCATGACCTCAGGACCCTCTGAGGCCTTAACCTAGTGCTTATCACTGCTTAATATTCTTTCCATACTCATTTATTGTCATTCTGCATTAACTTTTGTCTGTCTTTTTCTCGCTAGAATACAAGCCCCTTGCGAGGAGGTGCTATGTTGTTATGTTCATTAATTTTATTCTCTATCCAGAACCATGCTTAGCTCCTAGTATATGTTCAACAATACTTGAGTAAATACTGCTTAAATATGTGTTTGTTGAATGAATAGATCACTTATTCTTTTTAATACACACTGACAGAAAGCTCAGTTTCAAAAAAAGCATTTCCATGTCCATTAACAGCCCACAGAGAGGACTGTTTATTTCGTCCTCCTTTCTGTGGTCCTGATTTTCCAATTTAAGTTCTGTTATTATCCATATACTGTTCCATGTAAGTAATTTTTTTAGTTTTTATGTTTTTAGTAAGCAATATAAAACCCTCTGGGAGAAAATGTGGGAAACAAAGAAAGGAAGAAAACACCATGTTCATCCATCTCTTGCCTGGTTTATGCCCACATAACACACCCCAGGATGGCTCAGAGTCCTCACTGCCCTGAGCTCCGATCTGCCTTGCATCTGGGCCAGCTCTGCCCCAGGGCCAAGGGAAGGCAGCCCTGTCCTCTACCTGGGACAGCCCTCTTGAGACTCCAAGACAGCACCCATGTCTTCTCGTCATGTCTACTGTGACTGCCCATGACTCGGTGATATCCCTCACCCCTGTCCTTTCTCCAGGGGCCTCCCATTGCTGGCTGGTGTCCTCCTTACAGAAGGTGTGCAGCTTTCCCATCCAACATTTTCAGTTCACGTTGGAGTGGAACCACCTCAGGTGGCATTTCACCTGCATCTGCCAAGGATGACACTGTACCCAGCTTCACAGTAGGTATGCTGGGTGTGGCCTGCTCCTTGAGCCCTGACTCCACATTTACAGTGCCCAGGGTTGTTTATTGTACTCTGTGACTTTAAATATCTACTATGATTTCTCATCATTGAAACAGAAACTGCTTGTAGAAAACAGAAAAAAAAAAAAAAAAAAGCACAGTAAAGCCAACAAAAGCCTATCAATCTCACAACCCCAAAGAAGAACACCATTAATATTTCAAATTCTTTCCCTCCAGTCTCTTTTCTATGCCTGTGAACACAGACAGACTTTGGCTTGCCTGAGTTGTGAGCACACTGGACTGAATTCTACTTGCTCACTTAACATCTGCAAGCGTTTCCTTGGCCCCTGCAGACTAAGTGTGTGTGTTTTACGCAGATGTTTAATCTCCTGTCTTACAGGTGAAACATCATTTCTCACGCATTCCAGGCCTGAGAGGACTTCCCAGGGCTAGCCGGGCCTTCATAAGAAAACCCTTCTCAAGACCAGGAGCTTGCTCACAGTAACCGTTAACCATAGTTTGTCAACTTGAATGGATGGAGAACCACCAAGCAAATCAGTAAGCATAGTCCCGGGTGTGTCTGTGGATGACTGATGTGAGCAAACCAAGGAGGGAAGACCACTCTGGTTGTGGGTGGCACCAACAGTTAGGTTTGTAGCCTAGATGAAATAAAAACTGGAAAGAAGACGAATGTGTGCCCTTTTCAGAAGAGCTCCAGTCTTCGCCATCACCTTTGGACATCGGTCCATGGTTTCTTCGGCCTCCCAGTGTACAGATGACTTCCCAGGGAGAGTCTCCCTGGAGACGACCTTCCACCTTGGCTTTTGACCTTGGCCTGGCACTGCACCCTTGATCTCTCTCATGCTGTGGCTCCAACCTTCTTGGGCTGAGCAGCTGCTGGCTCCTCTGGCTCTCCAGGGTGCAGACAGCCACAGTGGACTCTCCTGCCTCTGCTCCTGCGAGCCTACCTGACACATCCCCTTGCACAGTTATTCATGTATCTCCCATTGAGTCTGGTCCTCTAAAGAACCCCATGCGCTCACCTCCTCATTCTCGATCTTGAGCGTGGCCAGCCTGGACTGCAGCTGGTGGTACCGCATGAGCAGTTCTGTCTGGACAGGTTGCTGGGCACTGACCTGGCACACCTGCAGGAAGAAGGCGGGGCAGGGCAAGGCTATCACCACACCCCACCAGCAGCATGGAGACAGGCTCAGCAAGGCAAAGAGACCTGAACTCAACTGGCTTGGCCATACCAAGGGCAATGCCAGCCAGAAACCAGGATGATCCTGCTCCAGTGACCACCTTCCTGCTGTGGCCTGGAAATTCACCATTTTCTCTATTTGTACTGCACTTATGGTCTGAAACAGTTTTAATGTAACCTTATTAGAGCAGCTAATAATTTCCAGGCAGGAAGGTGTGGCAAGAAAGAAAAGACAATGCCAGGGATCAGTCATGGGGCACCTTATTCCCAAAGGGAAGCCCCCTCAGTTTCTCCTCATGTACTGGCTGGGTGGGCAGTGTAGGGGAAGGAAATACAGTTGGCTTTCTCTGTCTATGGTTCCATGTCCACAGATTCCCCACCAAGGATAGAAAATATACATGGAAAAAACACTGAATCTGTATCAAACATGCACAGACCTATTTAACTGTCATTGTTCCCTAAAGAATAGAGTGTGACATCTATTGACATGGCATTTATACTGCACTGTGGATTCTAAGTAACCTAGAGATGACTTGAAGTATATAAGAGACTGAGCATAGGTTCTATACAAATACTATGCCATCTTATTTAAGGACCTGGGCACTGGCAGATTTTGGTATCCACAGGGATCCTGGCCAGTCTCCCAGACACTAAGCGATGAGGGGTACAGTTTTCCCCATACTTTTCCATCCAGGACTCTATTACTACCTGTGGGCCGGGCTACCAGGTGTTACACCCTTCCAAAAATGCTGCAAAGGTCAGAAGAGACAGTAGGGCTCTATTGTCAAAGTTAGTTATTTACCACTAGTCAGGTGACCCAAATTTCACCATGGTAACTGTGAGGCCAGAATTTTCAGGTCTAGATGATGGGCTTAACAGACAAACATGAGGGCAAGGGGCTTCATCAGGAGCAGGGGCATTACCCTACAGTAAGCCTCTTGCAAATGAGCACATCTGGAGCACAAAGCAGATGCCACCTTCTGAGGATGCCCCTTGCCCCACCCCCACAGGTGCCATTTATAGCCAGCAGAGCTCCCCAGGGACTCTGGCTGGCCGTGCTGGTACCTTGATGGTCTGGGGCTCCCTTACTGCCAGAAGAGGGAATGACACAAGCCCAGGGAGCTATCTGCCTCAGGTACTTCGTCACAGCCACAGTAAACAGACTAAGACAGCCTCAGGCAGAGTCCTGGGGGGACCGACCTCATCCCCCATGTGGGGCTGGAATTCGAACTTGAGTGGAGGACAGAAGACCTGGTTGCACATGTCCATGACTGTGTGTTTGTCACTGCGGGAGTCCAGGTTGTCCACTGCATTCTCAATGACATCCAGCCCTTCGTGGCGAGAGGTTTCCAGGTTGTACTCAGCAGAGAGGTAGGTCCTGAAGGTGCGGGCCAGGCTGGCATGAAAGCCCAGATCACAGCACTTGGGAAGGTGCAATGACAGAAGAGTACAGGTGAGAGCAGGCAGAGCTCAGAGCCCTTTATTCCTGCACACAAACCAAGCTGCATGGCAGCTCATACACAGAGCTTGAAGCTGAGGTTTGGGCAACAGTAGAGCTTCTCTAGCTCCCCTAAATCAGCATGTTTCTCATCTCCAGACTTTGATGCAGATCACTTCTGCCTGGAGCACCCTTCCTTCACTGTTCAGTTAAGAGGTCCCATCCTCCAGGAAGCCCTCTCTGGCAGCCTCTAAACTCAGAGCCCTGTCAGGTGTCCCTGCCCTGCAATAGGACCCTGCCACATAGCCCTTCAGCCACCTCTTCACACGCCCTCTGCAAGGTACACTTCATGAGGACAGACCTCTGGCTCCTGCCCACTGCTGCCCAGCCATCGCAGGTGCTCAATAATGCTTGGCAAATGAATGCATGAAAGGGTTACGTGAGCCACAAAGAAAGTGACCAGGCAAAAAGGAGGGGCCTGGCCTTAGGCAAGTTGGAAGACTAGCCACTCTTTCCACTGAGATGGTAATGATAGGTTCCCCTCTGCAGCCACCATAAAGCAGGGGCCCTCCCACCTCCCCCCAGCAAAACACATTGGGTCAGAGGGAAAGGACCCAGCAACTAACACCTAAACCTTACTAAGCATCTACAAGGTGGTTGCCCCTCTGTCAGAAGCAGGAGACAGGGACACAGTCCTGGCTCCAACAGAGACGACACAGAACCCGGCTCCAGCACTCACTGCTCTGCACTTCACAGGGCCTGAGACCAGGCAGTCCCATTTGCCGGCCAAGGGCCACCCTCCTCAGGCCAAGGAAATATGCCAGCCCAGCTCCCAGCATGCTCACATCAATGAGATCAGAGACATCATGGATGTAGTATTTGCTGATGGCTGCGTTGGTGGCTGCCAGGTTGAGCAAGTAGTCATTCCGGGCCTTTGTGCACTTCAGCTTGTTCTCAGAATACTTTGCTTGCCTCTGGAAGAGGAAAGAACAGGTGTCAGAGCTGAGCCTCTCAGGGGAAGGATTCCTGACTCCTGTCCCACCCCACACCTGTGGGACACCCCTGCACATGGAGAGTGCAGGCTGGACACCTTGCCTGCCACCTGTGTGACTAGCGGTGACACTACCTGACACACAGCAGCCTCCATGCGGCCTCACCAGGGTGGGATATAAATAGAACCCCTATCCGCACCTCCCAGAGGCTTCCCAAAGTGCTCGCCAGCCTCTGGAACCCACACCTGTCCATCCTCAAGCCCCATCCTCCTCCCCCTCCAGCCCTATCCAGCCTCCTGTGCACTCCCCCCCACCCCCCGCCACCGCTGCAGAGACTTGACCCAAGGCCTCATACATGCTAGGCAAACACTCCTCCACAGAGCTACATTCTGAGCCCTTTTCATTTTACTTGGAGACAGGCCACACTAAGTTGCCCATGCTGGCCTCGAACTTGCCATCTTCCCATCTCAGCCTCCCCAGTAGCTGGGATCATGGGTGTGCACCACCATGCCTGGCCGTTGTCCATGCTTTAAGAGAGCAAGTTCAACCTGCCTTGAGGCCCTCAGGCTCGCTGTAGTCGCCCTCCCTAGTTTCCACCTACTCTGCTCATTTTGTCATTTGAGCCCTCCCCAAGGTCACAGGGTCACAAATGCACCCAGGTATCTCCACGACTCCTCCGCCCTCGCCCTGTTTTTTCTCTGCCTCGGCCTTCAGCCTTTTCCAGCGGCTGCAGGGATCGTGCTGATCTCTGTGCTCACAGCACTCGTGAGATCAGCGCTCCCTATCCATTCACCAGTAGATGAAAGCTGGAGTTGTGTCCAGTTTTTGGCTACTGTCGATGTTGCTGCTGAGGACACCTGTGTACATGTTTTTGTATGGACATGTTTGGATTTCTCTTAGATAGACACCCAGCAGTGGAATTGCTGGGTTACATTCCCGCCAGCAGTGTGTGTGAGATTCCAGTATCTACATCCTTACCAATACTTTTAAAAACAATTTTAGCCATTCAGATAAGTACAAACCAGTATTTCATTATCTTTTTTGTTTTTGTTTTTGGAGGTACTAGAGATTGACCCCAGATCCGTCACACAGAGTACATCCCCAGCCCTTTTATACTTTCAGAGAGGGTCTCACTAAGTTGCCAATTTGCCCAGGTTGGACTCAAAGTTGTGATCCTCCTGCCTCAGCTGCCCTGAGGACTGGAATGACAGGTGTGTGTTTCCATGTCCAACTTCCACTATGATTTTGACTAGCATTTCCTTAATCACTAATGATGCTGGGGATTTTTTAATGTACTTATTGACCACTTATACATAGTCACCTTTTTTTTTAAGAAATGTATATTTAAATTCTTGCCCATTTTTAAATTGGTTGGTTGCAGCAGCTTTCCTTGGCTTTGGAAATTACCCTAGAGAGCCAGGCATGGCAGCACACACCTGTAATCCCAGCACTAGGGAAGCTGAGTTAGGAGGATTTCAGTAAGTTTGAAGCCAGCCTGGGCTACATAATGAGCTTAAGATCAGCCTGAGGTAGATGGCAAGACCTTATCTCAAAAAAAAAAGGAAAAAAAAAAAGAGAGAGAGAGAGAGAGAGAAAGAAAGAAAGAAAAAAGAAATTACCCTAGAATTTTATTTTCTTTCCCTCCAAATTACTTTTCCAGGTTACCTGAGTCCTCTTAGGCTTCATTTTCACCCAATTTCCTGTTTTTCAATCCAAGGGATCTTATAATCATAAAGTTAGACTTATAGAATCCCAAATAAGCATCTGGCACAATGTTTGGCCCCTAGAGGGAAATCAGCAAGTGTTTGGTGACTGCACAGAATGAAGGAAGATGGAGAATTCAACAAGAAAATCATGGCCTTCTAAAGAAAGGAATCTGGGGCTGCGGATTTAGCTCAGCGGCACAGCGCCTGCCTGGCAAGCATAAGGTCATGAGTTCAATTCCCGTTATGGAAAAAAAAACAAAAAAAAAAAAGAAAGAAAGAAAGGAATCTTAGCAGTCATTTCATTTAGGGTGACGGAATGTGCTTGGCTGTGTCCTCTGAAATGGCCCACCATGGCAGACATCATCAGTGATCTTAGCACATTTCTAACTAAGCCTTTGTGGCCACAACCAATTGATCAGAGTCAACTTGAGAGGTGAAACTTATTCGCCAGCCCCACTGGACATGAAAAGTAAGGTTTAGCGAGGTGCTCTGAGTATGGGATTTCCAGCCCAGCACACCTGACTCCAGAGCTACACCCCTACCCTCATGTCCTACCCCAAGGACATTTCAGCACTAGTACTCAGCAATCCTGAATCTCCAGCCTTCAGAGACCAGCTGGGGACAGGGAAGAGGCCAACGGCGTGGCCAGGCCTGTGGTCTCTCGTCTTTCCCTCCCTCCCGTCTCCCAGGCCAGGCTCACACTTGCCTTCTCCTTCATCTTCTCAATCTTCTTCACAGAGCTGCGGCGCTGGGGCCTGTCCTCATGCCGCAGCAGGTTCATGCTGAGCTCACCCGTCTTGTTGAACTGCTTCTCCTCCTGCTTCTCGGCCTCCTTCAGCTTGCTTTCGGCACTGATGCTCTCCGCATGGTACATGTGGTAGGTTTTCATGACCTGGGGACACACAAGTGCGAGAAACAGCAGCCGGTTTGACCCAGAGTGTTCTGGTCCATCGCTTCTGGTCCCACCCCAGGTTCTGCACCATATCTGTCCCCACCCAATTTCCATGACACACTCTGACTCCTGCATTTCTTTACTTTTGCACACTATCTAAAGACAGGAATCAACAGCAGCTTCACTGTGACTATCATTATTGTTCCATCACCACCATGACCATCCCCACCATGGCCGTCCTACAATGACCATCATCACCACGACCATCCTCGTGATGACTATCATCATCGCCACCACCATCATCACCATGATATCCACCTTCATCTTCATCATCATCATGAGCACCACACCATCATCATCGTCACCAAGTCCACACATCAGTCATGCTCTAGTAGACAGGAAGTAACAAAGAGCAACCACAGCCCAGGGGATAAGGCAAGCCTGGCCTTCCTCAGCTGTCCTCTCTGGTCTTGTCAGCCACGAGTGCTGTGTCCCTACCCTCTCCCCACAGTGTGAATGGGAGAGCCCCCCATAATCATGGGAATCCTTTGGGGAAACATCCTTCTTATGTATAAATAGTTCTTTCAGCTGTTTCCTTAGGTAGATGGACCTACAAACGGCTTTGCACCCAAAAGGAGTAGTATTAAATAATCTAACATTGTAGGTTTCATGCTTTCTGGAATACACTCATCCTCATCTATAAAAAGAAAAAGCAACTTGCACTTTGATATGCTACTTCCATAATAAAATAGGATAGTGTTACAAAAAGGGAAAACTCTGAGTCAGGAGAAATCCTAGAGGCCAACTAATCCAAAAACCATACTTTTACAAATGAGAAAATTGAGGCCCAGAGAGGCAAATGATCAGTGCAGAGGCTCCAGACTTTACATCCACATAGCCAGCACTACAATCAAGCTACAGAACATCCATCACACCAAAAATGTCCCTTGGGCTTACAGCCAATCTCTGACCCTTACACCCCAGGCCTTGGCCATCACTGATTTGTCTTCTCTCCCTGTGGATTGGTACTGAGTGTTTTAGAGCTCAATGTACATGGATTCATATGGTATACACTCTTTCGGGTCTGTCCTCTTTCAGCAAAAATTTTTTGGAGATTCACTTCTAACACTGCATGAATCAGAATTTCTTTTTATGGCTGAATAGTATTCTATTATATGGCTATAGCACAACCTGTTTATCTATTCTCGTGTTGACACTTACTTGGTTTGTTTGTAATTTGGGGCTATTATGAATACAGCTGTTATAAACGTTTCCATGCAATTCTTTCTGTATATATATACATTAGTTCCTTTTAGATAAATATGTAGGGGTAGAAGGATCATATGATAAATATATATTCAACCAATCAGAATTCTGGTCTTTGACTTTAAATATATTACTCTTACTACTCTATCACACTGTTTTCTGATTTCTTATTCTCAGCAGATTTGAATTTTTTTTTTTTTCTTCCGGTACCAAGAATCAAGCTCATGACCTTGCACTTGCCCAGCAGGCACTTTGCCGCTGAGCTAAATTCCCAGCCCCAGCTTTGAATATTTTGGGCAGCCCAGGAAACCTGACAGCAGTACTGTAGCAGTTTGTCTCCCAGGCCCTAAGTAGGAGTGCACTTTTCTCCTTCAATATCAAGTTTATAATCATCTTTCTATGCTAAGACACAGAAATATCCTGGAATCCCCAGCTCCTGAGCCTTGTACACTGTCCTCCATGGTTGGATAATTCCAGCAGCTGGCAGAGTAGAGGCTTGCACCAAGAGCGGAACGAAATGCTCAACAGCGTGTCGTCCTACTCATTCTGATCAGAGTCCTGAGAAGTGACCTGATTAGAGTGAGGAATTCTTCTGTGGCTCTTATCATCAAGCAACAGCACTGATTTGTTGCTTAGCAAGTTCCCCTTGTCATAGGCAATGTGTAGCATACAGCGTGGTAAATAATAATATTGTCTTAGTTACTTTTCTCACTGCTGAGACAGAATACTCGACACCCAAACATAAAGGAGGAAAGGTTTATTTAGCTTGCAGTTTGTAGAGGTTTCCGTCCACCATCGGCTGGCTCCAGGGCAGGATGGATGGCAGAGAGGCATTGCAGAGGAAAAATAGTTCATGGCAGGCAACAGGTAACAAAGCAAGCACGGGATGACCACAGCTCTTTCTTTTTTATTATTGAGTTTATTGGTATAATTTAGATATACATATTGATCACATTCACCATAGGAAATTTGTACCTGTACATGATATATCTTGGTACCTCTTTTTTTTCCTATTTTCCTCCCCTCTCTTCCACCCTTCTCCCTCTCATTTACAAAACCATATTTCTGTTTTATGCTTCTTTACTCATTTTTTTTCTTTTCTCTTTCTTCCTTTTCCCCTCCTCCCTACATAGTTCCCCTTTCCTTTTGAACAATTTCTTTCTATTTCACAATATCTATTATACATTTTTGGTTCTTATTTATACTGTCAGTTTCCTATACCAGAGAGAAAATGCAATATTTACACATATGTTCAATTTATTTTACTTAAAAGTATAGTCTCAATGTCCATCAAATTAGCTATAAATGTCTCAAGTTTGTCCTTCTTTATGGCTAAGTAGTACTCCACTATATAAAAAAACACCTTTTTTATCCATTCATCAGGTGAAGGGCATTTGGGCTGTTTCTAAGATTTGGGTATTACAAATTGTGCTGCTATAAATGTGTGTGTGCAAAAAAATCTGTAGTGTGATGTTTTAAATTCTTTCAGGAAGATACCAAGAAGAGGAATAGCTGGGTTAAATGGGACTGCTGATCTGTTTTTTGAGGAATCTCCACACTGATTTCTACAGTGTTTGCACCCATCAACAGTGAAAAAGGGTTCCTTTTTCCCCACAGCCCCACCAGAATTTGCTATAGGTTGATTTCTTGTTTTTTTGGTTTGTTTCTGGCACCGGGAATCAAACTCGTGACCTTGCGCTTGCCAGGCATGCGCTGTTCTGCTGAGCTAAATCCCCAGCCCCTGATTTCTTGAGAACAGTCATTCTTTCTGGAGCGAGATATAATCTCAGTATTGTTTTAATTTGCACCTCTTGAATGACCAGTGATGCTGAACATTTTTTCATATATTTATTTGCTGTTTCTATTTCTTAATTTGAGAAGTATATATTCATCTCATATGCCCCTTTTTGGATGACCATGGCTCTTTCTACCCCTTATATCTTATCCAGGCTACTGAGGGCAGGCAGCACTCACACTCTTAACCCTATGCCCTAGATCCTGGCATTGTACCATGAATCAATCCCAGCATCACACACTTTGGATCCAGTCACTTCTGAAAAGCCCCACCTTGAGTGCATGAGGCTTTGTGGGACATCTAGACATAGCCGTAATAAATGTGGAGTCTGGACCTAGATGCCAGGGCTGAATCCTGGCGCTCCTACTGACAGCCATGTGACTATGGGTAGTCTCAAGCCTCTGATTCTCAGCTGCAAAACAGGGATAATAGCAGCACTTACCTCCTAGGCGTGTTGCAAATATTAAATGAGTTCACTTTTGCAGAGTACTGAGAACACCTCTTCATAGCCATGGGACATTAGGAGCCACCACCACCTCCATCATCCCTGATCCGGGCTGAAGGTTTAAGAACTTTTAAATTATTTATCTGACTTTAGAAAAATGCTCACAAACTCCAAAGAACATTAGCTAATGTGAAAATGTTTCTCCCTGCTTCCTTCATTCTGAAGATCACACAAACTTGCAAAACAACACACAAATGAAAAATGCAGCAGCTTTTCTCCCTGGATCTTGGTGGCAAGCGCTCTTTCCTACCTTCCATCCATTCTGGTTCGCTTGCGGTGGCCCTAAAGCCCTCTTCTTACTAACTTCCTCCATGCTGCGGGCTGGTTCTGCTCACTTCAAAGGAACCAGTGGACCAGAATGTATGGCCTCTCAACCCGTTCTCGACATCTAGTGGCCAAATGGGATGACTGCAGGCATGTGGAGAACCAAAGCAGGTGCCTGTTCTCAAAGATCTTGGTTTCCAGAACAGTGTGGGCACACCTGCCGGTATCTGATTCCTGGACACCCGCCTCCCCTTTCTCCATTCTTCTCTATCTTTCCACATTCAGACACTCGGCTTCTTTGCTTTACCTACATCGCTGCTGCTTCCCATGTCTGGACCCTGCTCTTTCCTGGGCTTAATGGTTCCGCTAGGCCTCTGCATCTATTTCTGCTTCGGCATCTGCTTATCTCCCCAGCAATCTCTCCTTGGGTAAGGCAGTTCCCAGAAGACAGAGCTTCCTGTGCGATCATTCAAGTGTGCATCTGTCCTGTCTCAAGGGCAGTGCTGGCCAGGTGTCCTTACCTCCCACAGTTTCCTTTGCCATGTTTTCTTTTTTTCCTCTGCTTTGTTTTCTTTCACTATTTTTGAGCCACAGAGTATTCATCTTGCTCTCCAGCCAGCCAGACTTCCCAGGACAGTCTCTGCACTGTGCTCCGTTCCAAGAAGTCCCACACTAGGAGAACACAGCCCAGAGAACCCAGGGCCAAACTTCCTCTCACCCCATCAATTCAGGATTCTGCAGACAATAGCGAACTCAGGTGCTCTGGGTGATACACAGACAACTGCCACCAAGGAGCTGGCCTGTGGCCTCTCAGAAATGAGTTAATTTTTACCAAAATCCTCCAGATGTCTTCTTCATTTAATTACAATTATTCCCTGGTAGTTAGGGAGGATTGGTTCCAAAACCCCCACAGACCCCCAAATCTGCAAATGCTCTACAGCCTTATATAAAACCACATATAATCTAAGCATGTCCTTCTGCACGCTTGAAATCATCTGTAGCTACCCATAATCCCTGACATGATACAAATACTATGGAAATAATTGCTATACTGTATTTTTAGAGAATCAAAGAAAAAGTACCTGTTCTGTACAGATACCAATATTTTTGGAATTTCTTTTCCTCTGTGGTTGGTTGAATCCAAGGATACAGAAGCCACAGAAATGCTGG